GAATTTTACGTGCCAATTGAATATCTTTTGGCATAATGGTGACGCGCTTGGCGTGAATCGCGCACAAGTTCGTGTCCTCGAAGAGACCGACGAAGTAAGCCTCGCTACTTCCTGCAGGGCCATCACGTCGGAGCTCTGTCTTTAACAGTTTTTTTTCTCTTAACTCCTTAGTTAAGAGAAAAAAAAACTGTAGTAACAGTTGTAAGCATGAATAAAGAAAAGCTTGTGACAGCGTGTTGAGTAGCAATTTGTTTGAAATAGGAATTGTTATTTAAGTATGATCGTAACAGGTTATCTCGTGATACCTGTTACGATAAATACGCCTCAGTTCTAAATTAACTGGGTAAAATCGAGTAACTGTTACGCCGGCTCCTGTTACTTGACCATAACAGTGACTAATATCTGTTACAAAATAACTGCCTCCTATTTTATACTATGTTGTGACAGGCGTGTAGTTGGTAACCATAGAACCTATCTAGGTACTGTAACAGCGGGTTTTGTTGGTTATGTGTCCTTGTCTCTACTTTAATGAAGAAGAGGATGCGTTCAGTACTTAGTAATATTGAACGCATCCGAATGAGTTCGGTCCGGTTTCGTAAATTCTTATCATTTATTCAAAAATTATTAATAAAATAAGCCTCTAAGTATTTAAGTATAGATGATAAACCATTATTTTAAATTGTTTAATAATATTTCTGAGTATGTTATTAAGGTTAAGGATTTGAAGAAGGATCGAAAAACATGCGCTACTATTTTTTATTTTATATTTTTTTGCTTCTTTTAGTTGTTTATTGACTAGGAAACCGGATTACGGTTTTCGTTTTTAATCGAAAACTATCAGTAGATGAGACACAAAAATTTTTTTTTGCTATTAAATATCGTAGTGGGAAGGGTTCAAAGAAAATTCGCAATAGTTAATGCTTAAAGGTATCTTCAGTTTTAGACACAAAAATTTTTATCCTTCTTGTATTAACTGATGTTTTTGCTTTCAGCCTCCATTGATAGATGTACAGTATTAGATCCTTCTAGTGTGCCTTACATCGTCATGTCTTCATCTTAGTCTACGCGATATAGCTTTTGTTGGATCATTCAAAAACACTGCGGCACATCATCACCTGATGTGCCGCAGTGTTTTTGAACTAAGTTTTGCTGATTCCTAACGGAATAGGAGTCGTTAATTTTCACATTCTGAATAGGCAAATATGCAAAAGAAAAAACGAAATTGGAATAAAATAGATACGGTTTTGGACACAGAGATACAAAAAAAAATTGATTGAGATTGTTTTCGGTAAGACGCTTAGCTTAGTTCGGTTAATTGCTTTTAATTCAGTATATCCACTCAACCTAAATTTAATTCCTGGTGCTGGTATCAATGGAATTGATAATTTGTTATAATTATTGTAGATATTTACTGTAATTAATAATTTAACAATCATTTATTAGTACTTTTTGTTCTGATTTAGTCAAAAGTTGTTGGTTTGAAACCTATTGCGTCGCATGATATTTCCTACTCCTTAGAGTGGGGGTGGTTGGTATTAAATTTTGATCAGTATAAATTCAAATCTTACAACGTACGCGAGTTAGTTAGTTTTTTTGGTTATTGTGTTTTATAACTTATTTCTATTAAATTGTTGTTTTGAGTGCCAATTTACAACGTTCTTGGCTGTGATTTAATACATCATGTGGAGAGATGTAAATGTTCCAGATATACAATAGATTCGAAGATATAAACATAATTATTGAAGTCTGCCAATTCGTTTAAGGATCTCGTGGCGGATAACGACTTAATAGCTTTGGTCCAGAGGCCTTTTCCAACTGCTGTGGTTTAATAAGTGCAATCCATCCAATAGTTTTTCCGTGATGCATTCACAACAGTAGATCTTTAACACTTTATTTATACAGCGTGTCGTTACCATCGCGACAATAAATGAACACACGTCTAACGCTAATAATCATAAAAAAATATTAACATTAAACAAAATCCATAATTAAAAAAAATATTTTTAATACAAACTCATTAAGTAAAAAAGAAACAAAATTTGTAACATCCTATACAACTCGCGCCACAGCGTCGCATTACAAGCCTCTACTTCTAACAGGATGTTTTGTCTCTTTTAAATTCATTCAACCCATTCATATGCTTTGTGACCTTTAAAAATGAACCTTACGTTACGCTTTTTTAGGTAAGGATGTTCTAAAATTCTTTGTTTTGGAAAATTTAATAACTCTGTAAATATTGATGTTTGAAGAATTTAAATGTTTAATACAACTTTAAAAAGTTGTCCCATATATGTGTGTTCATTTATTGTCGCGATGGTAACGACACGCTGTATAGATAATACCCACCAAAAGGTTTGTAAGATTAGTGCACTATAGGCTGTTTTCAATTTGCTTTACAAAATCGTAGTATTTCCGTGAACTTAATTGGTGTTACGTTGATGTTCTTATTCGCAACGAAGGCGAGTGTTGATGAATAACCTCAGTACACACGGAGAATCTTCATTTCTTATACCATACAAACATGCATACTGCGTATTGTTTCAAAATTTCCAAGCCTGCATGGATTTTTTTACAAGCGCCATCTACATGACCTTGGTAAATTTTTCTTAGTAAGTTTTGTATACGTGTTTACTTATTATTGCACCGTGCCGATAGAGGTCGCAACTAAACTTAAACGAGATTATAAATCGCGATGTTGAGATTTTCGCTGAGCGAATCAGGTCTGCGGCGCGTCGTTCGGAATTCATACTTACCTGGCGTAGGGGATACCGTGATCAAGAAGGCGGTTCCCCCAGGGCGAGGCTCTCCCATTGCACTGCGGTTGGGTTGACCCCTGCGATTATCCCTAATGTGGATAACTCGGACGCGTTATTTTTGGTAGTGGGGACTGCGTACGCGCCGTCCCCTCCCTTAATTTTGATGACGTGAACCGACAAATCTAATGCATTTTATTCTAACGCAGTGCCAGTGACGCGTGCGTTAAGTCTAGACTCTAGATTCCTTTAGAGGATAGAGAACTAAATCATGCAATTCCGATATGAAAAAACTCAATTCTATTTACTTTCTTCTGTTAGGTAAGTGAAAAATTTTATCACTGAGATAAGATACAATTCTTAGCCATTGATGACGTCTAAACCAAAAGAATAGCAAACGAGCTAGCGACGGATAATTATCGACACTCCACTGCACCTGGCTATTCGCAACACCTGAGTTATAATTTTCAAATGCAGGCCGCTAGCACCTTGTTGTTAAATCCAACCCCATAATATCATTACCGAGACCCAGGAATTTTTACTTTTGTCTTAATAATCTTTTGAGAAACAAGCAAAGCGGTTCAACTGTAGGAGTATTTACAAGAGAATAAGATCCTTGTAATATTCTTTGTACTACACTGGGAGTTAGTTGGATAGCAATAAATTGCAAACTGATTTTTTGATTCTAAGTGGGTCGCCATCACTGCCTACGCCGCTCAAAAGACGTAAATAATAGCTTATGCTAAATAAAAAAATAATCATCAAAATCAGTTCACTCACTCGAAAGTTCTGAGGTAACAAACATAATAAAAAATATAGTTGAATTGAGAACCTCCTCCGTATTTGAAGTTTGTTGAGAAATTGAAATAGTTTCGGCTTTTGAAAATGTTTACATTGTTTTAAAAGTTTTAAGTTTTTTGATGTCTGTGGCGTGATTTAAGTGGACCTTTACGTATTTGTTAAAATAACTATGTTTTTATTGTAAAAGAGAGCCATCTATGTGCGCTGTCAGAGAAGCCGTGAGTTGACACGATTTTTTTTACACATTTACACAAGTCGGCGATAGATGTCGCTAGAGATATTTGTGACACGCGATGTTGAGATTTTCGCTGAGTGAATGAGGTCTGCGAAGCACCGTTCGGAATTCATACTTACCTGGCGTAGGGGTTACCGTGATCAAGAAGGCGGTTCCCCCAGGGCGAGGCTCTCCCATTGCACTGCGGTTGGGTTGACCCCTGCGATTATCCCTAATGTGGATAACTCGGACGCGTAATTTTTGGTAGTGGGGACTGCGTACGCGCCGTCCCCCCACAAAGAAGGAATGTAACGATACCGGAAGGAAGTTAGCGTAAAATAATTTTCTTATTATTTTAGCGATATGCCAATATTGCCAATTAATTGCTCTTGAAATGCTATTAAGGTGAGTATCGACCACAACACAACATTTACTTGTAACAGAACACAGAGCCGCTCTATATGTTCTAGTGTATCATCCTTTCACGTACTAAACGTCGAGCACGCTCGCCTCTTTGTTACAAACCATATTGCATATTGGTGTAACATTTCGTCGAGCCACGAGCGCGGGCGATTTTAAGTCTAACATTTATTCCACACCTCCAAGAGTTTGTCCTAAGGTGAAACTTAAACTTATTATTTACGCAGTTAAAGTTCTCAAAGGGAGAAAAAGAACCTATTTTGAAACATTTTTCATTTGTGCTCCGATCCTATTGATATTAGCGTGATGATATACAGCCTATAAAGGCTTCCTCGATAAATGTGCTATCCAACACTGAAATTTTCAAATCTGACCAGAGTAGTTCCCGAGATTAGCGCGTTCAAGAAAACAAACAAACACTTCAGCTTTATAATATTAGTATAGATTAAGTCGTTATTTCCGGAGATTCTTATACCTTACAACTTTTATATTTGCATGCACGTTGTGAAGCAAATCCAGCGAGATATTTCCAAAACCTAATTTTCGCAACCTTTGTGTTATTTCGGGTCTTAGATGTCTCCGCCCATGGAAATATCTCTATTTCTAGGTTGAACTTGATTTTTATTCACGATTTATTGGGAGGAGACCCGCTGGGGTTCTTCTTTTCTTTAAGAAGTTATGGATTATTTATAAACTAGTTTTTATTCATTCGTACAAACATTTATTTCTGTATTAGAAAATACTACAATTGATGCTAAATATTTACAAAGTAAGCTACACAATACCAGTTGATTTTTATTGATCGAAGATCATCTGAACGAGGGAAGGTTCGGGGGGTCCATCGCCATGTCTATCAGCTCGTCGATATCATCAGAGTTCCAGAACGAAAGCTCCAACTGGAACATTTAGACGTATAAATGAAAAAAAAATGATAACATGTACTAACATTGAATATACATTTATACAAATTGTAATTATCGTCTTGGTGAAGTTATGTTTTGAACTTATGAAAGTTAACACAACACCATTCAGTTGTCGATTGAAAGATTACTTTTGAAACTGACTGCCAGAATTTTGTCTGCTAATTGTCTAAATTTTGAATAGCAGTCGGCTTGTTATGTAGGAGTGACTTTGCTATTTTTGAGAAATATGAATTAAAGTTCTCGTAATGAGTAACGAGGCAAGGTAGAATAATCTTCATAAAACTGTGCGCTAAAACGAAATCTGTCTTTAAGATGCTAAGAATTAAGAAGTGGTTGTTAGAATTGTGCGATTACAAGTTGCGCACAAATGAGTTGCGTAAAAAGATGGATAATAGTTGCGTAATAAGATACAAGCGAGATATGCAAGCGAGGGGAGCATGGGGAGGTGGATTTCGAAGCAAGCGAGGGGAGCGTGGGGAGGTGGTTGTGTAAGCGAGCGTGGGTAGCGTGGGGAGATGTATGTCAAACGTGAGTAGCAAGGGGAGCATGGGGAGACGTAAATCGAGCGAGGGTAGTGTGGGGAGACGTATTTCGAGCGAGGGTAACATGGGACAGACGCATGTCGAGCGAGGGGTGTGTGTCGAGATGTATGTTGGGCGAGGGTATTGAGGGGAGAGTGGGGAGACGTCGGTCAAGCGAGGGGAGAGTGGAGTGACGTATTTCGAGCGAGGGTAACGTGGGACAGACGTATGTCGAGCGAGGTGTGTGTGGAGTCGTATGTCAAACAAGGATTAGAGGGGAGAGTGGGGAGATATATGTCGAGCGAGGGTAGAATGAGGAGACATACATCAAGTAAGGGCAGCGAGGGGAGAGCGGGGAGACGTATGTCGAGCGAGGGCAGCGAGGGGAGAGCGGGGCGAGGTATGTCTAGCGACGGTAGCGAGGGGAGACATGGGATCGCGCGGCGTTACCGGGTCCCTGTCGTCGCGGCAGGGGCGGCAGTGGAGGCGCGCGGCGCGGCACTCGCAGCGCGCTCTCGCACAGGCGCGGCCGGCGCGGGCCACGCGCGCGCCCGCCACCGTGGCGAAGCGGCGCGCGGCGGCCCGTTCCCCGGACAGCTTCGCGCCCGCCCACACGGTGCCTGGCGCATTCGTTCATTCATTTGTTTCATTTTCCAAAGTTCAATAGTTTTTAGTCGGTCCGTCCGGGTTAGTACCACGACCTCGCAGACGACCGCCGTCAAGTGGAAGTGCTTCCGCGTTTCGTCCGGTGCGATACTTTCCCCGGACGAATAAACCCATTCGCACAAATTTTAATAAATGAATATTTTTGCTAAAATATTAAATTACATATTTTCATTTCACTCTTAACTGTACAAAAAAAAGAAGAAGATGGAAAATAAATAGCAGTTATTATTATAAAGTTTTCATTTCGAATTTATTTATTTAAACCATTCGAATTTATTAACAACTTAATTTAAACATCACACAAAATTCCGTCGTTGAATATCTAGTTTGTGAAATCCACGTTTCATTCAACAACTTCACTGTTCTGTATTGTCATAAGCCCGTATAGCCCCTTACCGTTAGTCTCCAAGGCCAGGGAATTGCAGATGCCCAGTTTGTCTTTGGGCAGCTTCACCTGCTTCCTCAGCCCGGCGTCACCCACGAGCCTCTCGTAGTCCTTGTTCGTGTACGCCAAAGTGCTGTCCACACCTGAAAGTGGTTAACACGCTTATATTAGTTTAGTGTATGTATGTATGTATGAATGACCCACTTTGAACGATCAGATTTGAACCAAACTTTGCACACTCGTAAAAGACTAGATAAAATAAACAATAGTATAAAACAAAAAACTAAAAACACGATTTTGTAGACAACAAAACTAAGATGTAGAAAATAATTTTCAATAAATTAAAATTATATTAATTATTATATATATTTTAAAATAATTCGTTATATAAATTATAATATAGTATTTTTTTTATTAATCGCTCTATTCAACTATAACAATTATTTATTTTAATTTTACTGCTTGTCTATGCACTCGAGATGAATCTTAGGACAAATAATTTTGCGACCATTTATCTGCACGTTTTATTTTAAAACGTGATTATTTTAATAACCAAAGATGCAGTGCTAGCCCAGTCAGTGGTATATTTATATTTTTAAATTCAATTTATAATTATTAACGGTGTATTTAATAACTAAATTGTGGGTATACCGTAAAGTGGTCACTAGGTAAAAATAATACAAGTATGGATGAAGAAAATACACAAAACGTAGACAGTAATTGTACGAGTACACATTTCCTTTGCAAATTACCAAATTTACTGCTGTGCAGTATTCGATTTTGTTCACATATATTTCTTCAAACGTGTACAGCCTAGTTATAGAAGCTTCCATTAGGGAAACAAAGATATTTTACGTATAGAAAACGCGGCCAAGAGCTTACCAAACAGATATTTAGCGACACGCTTCTTCGAAAGCGTGAACTCGTCGTTCATCAGAATGTGAAGGGTCACAGAGTTCTCCATCAGGTTGTGGTATATCGTGGAGTAGTCCAGCTGTATGTTGGTAACGAAAACAATTTAAGACAGTATAGGTCCAATACACAAGATAAAAAAGTAAAACATAGGTTAGACCAAAACATAAGTAGGATTCAATTTCGATCATGGACAGGTAATAATGTAACACAAAAAATGTCTAATTATAGCTAAGAATGATCAAGATAAGACAGCTTTCAAAAAAAATACCGCAGTGTAATTGTTCCTTTCGTTTAGAAGCTACGATGCCACAGACACAGAAACGTCAAACTTATAACACCCCTCTTTTTACGTCGGGGTTAAATAGCTATTGAAGATGTTCACTTTGTATTAACAATTTTTATTCTTCGATCTCTTCTGTATTGCAGGACAGCGCAATTAATGTTCCCAAACGGTACATTGTTTGTGAGTGAAAAGTGAGAAACTGGAAGAGAATAGAAGCGGGTGAGTGGAAACTGTCAGTAGCTTCAAGTGAATGAACCGGTAAGCGTTTTAACGTCGCTAGCGGCTTCGAGTCGGCTTCGAGTGAATGAGTTGATAAGAGTTTCGTTGTAGCCAGAGGGTTCCAGTAAAGTGCTCTGTTGTCGCTGGGGACTTCGAGCGAATGAGTATATGAGTGCTTTGTTGTCACCAGCGGTCTCGAGTTAATGAGTTGGTAAGCGTTTTGTTGTCGTTAGCAGCTCCGAGTGAATGAGTTGGTGAGTGCTTTTTCGCCGCTCACCGTCATGGCGGCGGCGTTGCAGCGCGCGCAGGGCATCAGCACGAAGGCCCTGGGCGCAGCGGCTCGAAGGGGCAACGAACTCGCGAACCTCAAAGCGGCGAACGCGTCCGCTTTCGGCGCAGCCCCCTCCTTACCCTCCGCTTTGTCTGGAAAGCAGCGAATTCAAAATCAAACTCAAATATTTCTATTCAACATAGGAGTATTGCACTCGCTTGTTGATAGTCAAAATACTACCACCGGTTAGGAAAAGAAAGCCACTGTACTGAGAAGAACCGGCGAAAGAGACTAAGTGAAAAGCTCTTTACGTGATTATCCGTTAGTATGACAATTACCAGCCTTTATTTTCCACCTAGGTGGGCACATAAATCATTTTGTGGTTTTTAGGGTTCCGTACCAAAAGGGTAAGAAAATGTGACCCTATTACTTAAATTCCACTGTCAGTCCGTCTGTCACCAGGCTGTATCTCACGGACCGTGATATCTAGACGCTTCCATTGAAATTTTCACAGATGATGTATTTCTGTTGTCGCTATCACAACAAATACCACAAACTAGAAACCAGAATAACAATATATTTAAGTGGGGCTCCCCCATACAACAGATATGATTTTTTTTGCCGTTTTTATAGATAATGGTACGGAACCCTTCGTGCGCGGGTCCGACTCGCACTCGGCCGGTTTTTTTTACCACCGGCCACCTGCTCGATGTCAACCTTCCTTGGGGATGAACACTCGGAACCAATTATCTGTGGGTTACACGAATACTTGTCCCGTGCGGGAATCGAACCCACGATCCCCGATTTATTAGGGCTTTACATAGGTTCACGCACCATTTGTTTAATTATGGATTTTTTGAGGTATATTCGACGGGAAGATTTGCCGTAGTTTCCAGTACGCTGCCCATCCGAGTTGGATTCGCCGATTGACCTCTGCGTCGAAATTCGACTTACCTAGCCGGACTAACTGTCCTAGGTATACGTACTTATCAAAAACTTCGAGCACAGTGCGCCCAACAACAACCGGTATAGACGTGACATGGACATTAGACATAATCTTCGACTTGTCCATGTTCATCTTAAGGCCTACCCTACGTCGAATATACCTCAATGTTTGTTTCCAGGTCGTATGAGGAAGCTCAAAGTCGCTCAGCGAGCTATGGGTCGGGCTATGCTCGGTATTTCTCTGCGTGATAGAGTTCGCAACGAATACATTCGCAGTAGAACAGAAGTAACCGACATAGCTCAGAAGGTTAGTAAGGTGAAGTGGCGATGGGCTGGCCATATAGGCCGTAGAAGCGATAACTGTTAGGGAAGGAAGGTTCTCGAGTTCCCCGAACTGGCCATCGCAGTGTGGGATGACCCCCCACTGACGACCTGTGCAAGCGTGCGTATAGATATGTAGCGAGAGTAGGCGCGTCGCGTTACCTATGCGGAATGCGTCGAAGTGCCGCGGCACGTCGACCGCGTCAGCGAACAGCTCGTTGTCCACGTAGAGGGCGCGCGGGGAGCGGAACACGCCGCGCCCGCCGTACACCACCACGGCGTATCTGCACCGCAAAAGGAATCGCTTCATACACGGGTGAAAGGAGTAACACGTTCAAACTCGGGAAGGAACTACTATTCGGCCACTAGCTGCCAGGCCAGGACAGACATCGTCTTGTCAAAAGTTTTTTTTTATAGTATTAAACCTTCAGTGGACCTTAAGGAGCCACATTAAAAAAAATAGCCGAATTGGTCCAGCCATTCATGAGCTATATGCGCTTACCAACATTCATTTTTATTTATATAGATAAGTATAATGGCAAACTTTTTAAACTATTCTTTACTCTGCTCTACCATTTACCAATTTGTAATATAATAATTTTGTTGATAATATATTGAATAAATAAGAACAAATATCATAACGATATATAGGACATAAGCCAACAACTTCTGCTGGGAAACGGTTATCACTTAGCACGTAGCGACAGCCAGTTTACTTGACTTCCTACATAAAAAAAGTTGTTGCGGAATTTCATAGCAGACGATGCGGACGGTTGCTTTTAATTGTGTTGACCATGAAATACTTTCTTTATTCTAATCTGTCTTAGCACGTCCACCGACGTCGTCCAATGCTTCACCACATACTTAAATGATCGAAATCAGCACAAAAAAAGTGGACGACCGTTTCTCAAACTGGCATCCCACAGGGTGGGGTGCTCGCACCTCCACTTTTCTCTATATTTATGAATACAATAATTTGAATAATTGAGCATAGGAAGTACCAATCCGTATGCTGACGAACTGCATCTATATATAACTACAAAAAAGTCTGATCTAGTAGATGATACCATAGACGCATAAACGACACGCGAAATGAAGACAAAAAGCCGGCGGCATCGTCCGTAGCAGCCATTAAAAATGTAACGCTTGAAGAGCAAGGGGCAATTTGGTCCGTATCGCGGCACCTGTTGTCCGAGAATCCGTCGCCCTGCAACTTGCTGTCCAACGCCTCTACGAACAGCTCGATGTTCTTCGCCCTGCGCAGGTTCCTGTTGCACTCGTGCGCCTCCACCAGGAACACCACGTCCGTGGAGTTGGGCGGCTCCAGGAGCTGCACGAACGAGCCCTCGTCCACCAGCTCGCCCTGGGGCGTAGTGCATCTGCGGAATCGATAGACCAATCGTGTTAGGCGTGTTACGACACGGAAAGGGTAACAACCTATATATTACATATCTAGCTGGGTTCTCGTTCCTCTTACACGGGTATTTTTTGCTTGTATTCTTTTAAATTTTATGCTTAATACATCTTTCTTGTTCTGTTTTTTTTTTATTATTGCACAATTTTGTTATAATTATCTTACTTATAATGTTCCTTATCAGTTACACTTTTCAATTATTATTCTTTCCTCATAATAGTCTATCTTAATTTCCCATATTTTTTCTTAATAAATATAAATTTATTTAAAATATATTTATATCCAGATAATTTTATAAAAGGGTGTAAAATAGCTTAATATACATAGGTAAATTATAATGCCGGCATTATAAGATACTTTGAATACCGTACATGAGGTTGTAGTGAAAGGTGTAAGGAAGTTTTTTGTATGTATTGAAAGTTGAGTGTTTATGTACAGCGTGTCGTTACCACCGCGACAATAAATGAACACACGTCTAACGCTACTTGCCAATAATCATAAAAAAATATTAACGTTAAAAAAAATCCATAATTAAAAAATAAAATTTTCAAACAAACTAATGAAATGAAAAAGAAACAAAATTTGTAACATCTAATACAACTACAACTGACTGATTCATACATTCAGAGACTTTTTCATTTGTTGCCACAGTGTCCTCTCCTTCTAATAGTATGTTTTGTTTCTTTTAAATTCATTCAAATCATTCATATGCTTTGTGACCTTTAGAAATGAAGTTTACGTTACAGTTTTATACGTAAGGGTGTTCTAAAATTCTTTGTTTTGGAAAATTTTATAACTCGGTAAATATTGATGTTTAATACAATTTTAAAAAGTTATCCTCTATATGTGTGTTCATAACATGCATTTATTAATAAAAGAAAAGTATGTTTATCAGTTACTTAGTACTTATAGCTTTGCTCAGTTAGCTTGAGATCAGTGGGACTGCATTCTTAACCGTGGTAGGTCCGTACAGCGCTGCTATTGCACGAATATGCAAGGTCGACCAGGGAAGTACCACGTCCTCACAGAAGACCAGCGTGAAATCGAAGTATTATACTTTTGTGCATTTCGTCTCGAGTATGAGGTAACCGGAGCTCACTCTTTAAAAGGTGGCAATGCATCTGCAAGCTCTTAGTTGTTGCAGTTACAAACTGTTGTAGGACCACGCAACAGTGTTCACTGTTGCACGAATGGGCAGGTCCGTCCTGGTAAGTACCACGACCTCACAGTAGACCGGCGTAAAGTAGAAGTGTTACACTTCCGTGTTTCGCCCGGAGAGTGAGGTATCCGGGGCCCACTTTATTTATAGGTGGCAACGCATTTGCCACCTATAAATACGTAATGTTGATAATGTCCATGGGCAGCGGTTATCGCTTAACACCAGTTCAGCCCTCTGCTCGCTGGCCAACGTTTCTCATAAAAAAGAAGCAAGTCCCGGGCGGGTGTCGAACTCACTGCACGCAGTGGTCGGGAATGTGCGTGGGCACGTGCTGCTGCGCGCACAGCTCCAGGTACGCGTTGGCGAGCGCGCACGCGTCCGCCCCGGCCGAGCACTCGGCGCGGAATGGGCGCGCGTCGATCTGCAGACGACCGACAAAGGGTCCGTCACTTTTTTTTCTTAAATTTTTTTTAAATCTCTTCGAATAATATACGAACTCTACCGTGGCTCCGTTAGTGGAGATTTTATGAGAGTTCGCTCCTGATTGCCATATGTGATTTACCGCGCATGAGATTCCGTAATAATAGTCCCTTGTGAATCACCAGTTGGATATTTGTTGTAAACAATTCGTAATGCTTGCTGAATGTAAACTTATTACAATAACTTATATTGTAATAGGTCCGGTCAATATCCCGTATAACATGTGAGCGCAGTGGCAGAACCATGCAGCAGAAACTAATGTTGCACAAACGTACTGGTTACAGAAAACCGACTACAATAGGTGTAAATGTTTAGAAGACATGATTTTTCACTAAATTTGCATTTTTCACTAGACATGGTCCAAGCGCCAACGTCCGATTTCGCACGAATGGGCAGTCTCGTTCGGGGAAGTCCCGCGACACAACAGAAGACCGCTGTGAAATAGAAGTACTACGCATTCGCGTTTCGTCTCCTGACCTAAGTGAAGAGGGCCCACCGTTTTGAAAGTTCCGCCTGAACCCCACGGGTGTTGCAAACGTCGCTCAGCCCACTCGCATCGAAACCGCTCCCATGCCAACTGATCACGTGTAAGAGATACTAACAACAGAGAAGCACGGGTGCAGCGGCGACACTTTGTTGGCGAAGAACTTGTCGCACTGCGTCTGGTCCCCACTCTTGGTGGGCGTGGCCTGTCGCGGCCCCTCCCCCTCCCCCCTCAGCCGCCAGCCCCGCCCCAGTGACGTCACGTCGGCGCCCAGAAGTCCCCCGGGCAGCTGCCGCTCGTCGTACTGCTCGTTGTTGTACGTGCCGAGCAGCCCGCCCAACGCGGCGTAATGCCAGCCTGCAAGATTGAACGAACGGGAGCGTTGAATGAACGATTTCGCTGTAAGGCTGTGGATTTTTTGTGATAGTTTTTCAAGTGATCTTTTCGTACATTCATTCTTTTCATACATCGTTGTTTTTGTTTCATCTTTCATTCTACACCACGTATCTCCTAAACTGATACAGTTATGTACCTATTATAATTTTTAAAAATATTTTAATACACTTCGCGCTTACTCTTAACTTCTATCGTCCTCATATAAACTGTTCGACTACAATTCCGTCCGTTGTGGCAAGAGTGAATAGGTTTTTACTGAGCTAGCGCACTTACCATTAACGGCTGCATCGCTACTTACCATCAGGTGGGATGGCACTCAATTGCTGGCCAGTATTGAATTTAAAAAAAAAAGTATCACTGCCTCACAGAAGAACGGCGTAAAGTTGAAGCTTTAGCCAACAGATGTCAAAGTCGTGAACCTCACCGGAGACCTGGAGCTTGCAGGTCCTGAAGAGGACGTTGCACTGGACCTCGAGGCCGCTGCGGCCCTCCACGGTGATGACGTCACTCTGCCTGTCCACGACCAACTCCTCGATGGCGGCGGGCAGGCTGAGCGCCGTGGAGCGACCCAGGGACACTTGCTGCGGACCGCGAGGAAGGAAATGCTTTCAAGGATGTTTTTTTAATGCGAAATGGCTTTTAATTCAATATACTAAATTGTTAATTTTTAGTGCTGACTTACACGTGCTCAGCAATGAAACATGCATATTTTGGAATTCTTATTATATATAAGAAAAAAATATATATAATATACTACCCACTACGTCAATCGGGTCGCATATAATAATATAACATTCCTGACCTCTTTGTACAAGTCGATGTATATCAGACTCCTCTTGGTCAGAATGACCAGGTCGTATTGGCCCTGGTCGTTGCTCTCCATCAGCACTGTGAAGTTGTTCTGCCGGTACTCCTTCGTCAGGAGGAAGGTGCCACTCTCCGATATCGTGAACACCTCCTTGTCGAAGGTCACTAGCGTGCCTTGGGCGGTCATCATCGCCATCCCTGAGAAAGTAAAAAAAAGGTAAAGTAACAGCCTATACATGTCCCACTGCTGGGCAAAGGCCTCCTCTGTACAAAGGCTACTATAGTCCACCACGCGACTCCACTGCGGATTGGCAGACTTCACATATCTTCGAAACATTTTATTTCGAAGATATGCATGTTTCCCTTGAGACGTTTACCTTCACCGTTTCAATAACGCCCTGAGTTTGAGTTGCGAGTTTTCAATGAAGTTGAGTTCTGTGTACCATCTAAAAAAATTCCCCAGTCTCTAAAAACCGAATATAACGTGAGCCCGACTCGGGAAGGCGTCGAAATCATTTTGAGCAGTGGAGAGGAGGAGAATATTTCTATCCTTTTCGCACTGCAGTCTAAAGCGCTTTCTGTCTCCCTCACTACACGTTGGTGTACAGTTGCGCACGGCATCGTTATTCGGTTTTGTGAGATTACTCGACATTAAATGGGTAACTTACTCGCGGGATCTACTTCATTCAGAGTTTTAAAATTAAATGACACCTTAACACTGAGCTACCTAACTTAGCTAACCTTTAAGGAGTAGACAAAGATAACTGATGCTGGCTCAAATCATGCACGAAAGAGTAAGCCAATTTTACGTGTTAACTGTAAAAGTTTAGGAAGGGATAGCTAATTAAAATCAGTGTATAATAAGACTTGACTTAACGGCGAAGGGCGGGATGATGTTGTGCAGGTCCATGTAGGGCCTGATTCATGGTTTTCGACTCAAAAGCTTTTGGACGTGAGCCCTATACACTGTACGGCTAACCTAGCTAATCTTTAAGGGGAAGACAAATAGATTTCATGTAACGAGCTAGAAAGAGAAAGCAAATCATGTTTAACGCGGCAACTCTTCGAGGAATGGAAAGAGACAGCTAATGTGAATCAGAGTTTACATATGAGGCGTACCGGCGAATGGCGGGACGACGTTGTTGAGGTCCACGTAGGGCCTGTTCTCGTAGTAGTAGGAACAGATGCTCCTATTCGAGGTGAGCCCTATATACTCAGTTACCTAAGCTTTAAGGATTAGACAAATATATCTGATGCTGGAATATGCGAAAGCAAATTTCGTGACAGGTTAGAAAGAGACAGCGAAACAGAGTTTATAGAATAGGCGTACCGGCGAATGGCGGGACGACGTTGTTCAGGTCCATGTAGGGCCTGATCTCGTAGTAGTAGGACCAGATGCTCCTGTTCGAGGTGAGCCAGTCGTCGACGAAGTCCCGCACGGCGCGGTATTCGGCCACCTCCGCCAGGTCGGGGGTGCGGTTGAACGCGTGCCAGGACATGGGCAGCTTCTGCTCCAGACGGACCATGCCGGCGCGAGGGTCGAACACGAACTTGGTCTTCGGCGTCCGGTGGCTGGGGAGGGGCGTTTGTATGAGAGGGTGGCGAGCGGGCTGGCAAATTTAGTAAAACGTCGACGCCTAGTGGTCGAATTTCCACCATAATCGGTTTGAAACAGTAGGCAGACGGACCCTGCCGGCGCGAGGGTCGAACACGGGGGCGTTTTAACGCGTCGTGGTCGACACATTATTAATTTAAATTATAAGTTTGAACAGTATTAGCTTCTGCCCCAGACGGACCCTGCCGGCGCGAGGGTCGAACACGAACTTGGTCTTCGGCGTCCGGTGGCTGGGGAGGGGCGTTTGTATGAGAGGGTGGCGAGCGGGCTGGCAAATTTAGTAAAACTAGTCGACGCCTAGTGGTCGAATTTCCACCATAATCGACCATTATTAATTTAAATTATAAGTTTGAACAGTATTAGCTTCTGCCCCAGACGGACCCTGCCGGCGCGAGGGTCGAACACGAACTTGGTCTTCGGCGTCCGGTGGCTGGGGAGGGGCGTTTGTATGAGAGGGTGGCGAGCGGGCTGGCAAATTTAGTAAAACTAGTCGACGCCTAGTGGTCGAATTTCCACCATAATCGACCATTATTAATTTAAATTATAAGTTTGAACAGTATTAGCTTCTGCCCCAGACGGACCCTGCCGGCGCGAGGGTCGAACACGAACTTGGTCTTCGGCGTCCGGTGGCTGGGGAGGGGCGTTTGTATGAGAGGGGTGGCGAGCGAGCTGGCAAATTTAGTAAAACTAGTCGACGCCTAGTGGTCGAATTTCCACCATAATCGACCATTATTAATTTAAATTATAAGTTTGAACAGTATTAGCTTCTGCCCCAGACGGACCCTGCCGGCGCGAGGGTCGAACACGAACTTGGTCTTCGGCGTCCGGTGGCTGGGGAGGGCCGTTTGTATGAGAGGGTGGCGAGCGGGCTGGCAAATTTAGTAAAACTAGTCGACGCCTAGTGGTCGAATTTCCACCATAATCGACCATTATTAATTTAAATTATAAGTTTGAACAGTATTAGCTTCTGCTCCAGACGGACCCTGCCGGCGCGAGGGTCGAACACGAACTTGGTCTTCGGCGTCCGGTGGCTGCACATATGGCACTACACAATACTCACATCTCACATTCCCGCTACTACGTAATACTCACATCTCCTCGTACTGCAGCGCGGTCTTCGCCATGTCCGTCAGCTTCGCGTACAATATGCCCCATACCTTGTGCGCCGCCTCGCCGATCATGAAGTAGTCGTACCACCATTTCAGACGCTCGTACGCCTCGTTGTACTGTTACGGATGGACGAAAATTAATATTCTAGTGTCGAATAGTTGTTAAAATTCTGTAGAAGAAACGGATATATATACTCTAATATCTGAATGATCATTATTTTTTTTAGAAAAATATGAATGAAGTTTTTCGCCGTTGCGGGAATCGAACCCACGTCTTCCAGATTCACGCCCAGACGCTTTAACCACTGAACATAACATCTAAATAGCTTTTTTTTCTTCTAAATTTTTTTTCAAGTCCAGAGGTTGGCACTGTTATAATTTAAATCGAATAATTAATTATATTTTCCGTCGAAAAAGTATAACAAAGTACCAACGTTACAAGAGCCCTGATATTTCAGTATATGTGCACTCGTTTTTAATTCAATATGCTCTAGCAACCCGAGCTCAATTCTCGGTGCCGGCACCAACGAAATTGTTGATTACAATTTTAAGTGCTGACTTATCAGGTGCTCGGCGGTGGAGGAAAACGGGACACCTACATATTTTCGAAATAATACCAAAATTTCGAATTAAAAACATTGAAACAATATTTTTTTTGAAGATTTGTGAAGTTTGCCCTAATAAAGACCCGTACAGAGGAGACATTTTTGTAGCAATGGATGCCCCATATTATGTATGTAAATAAGCTGTTATTTTACTTTACTTTTTAAGTATCAACCATCGGTTGCGTTGGACGTTTATGTACAGGTGTTAGGATAATTTTCACTAACACAATACATCATGTCTTCAAGAGACATTTTTACAAAAACACAGACAATATCAGGCTAAAATAGATATGGAAAGTTCAACACTTCCATTCCAACTAAACTTTATGTGCCAAAATAATAATATCTGGTATTTATGCGATTGCATATTACTAAATGACTCCGTGGCGCAGTTGCCAAGGCATTGGGTTCGGCGTCGGGGGTCGTGGGTTCGATTCCCACACGGGACAACTATTTGTGTGACCCACAGATAATTGTTTCTGATTCGGATGTTTGTTCGCGTGAAATAAACGTATGTAAAGCGTCCTTACAACCCGGGATGCGTTATCCTACAGTTAGGGGGTATAAAAAAGGGTGTGGAGTACCTCCGCGCGGAAGAAGTGAAACTTCGAGTGCATTCACTCTCGCTCTGTCTCTTTCTATTCCCCGTCCCCAGTAGCGTTGAACGTTTAACGCAATAATGCTTTCATACCCCCTCCATGGTAGCGTTAAATGTTTAACGCAACCTTGTTGGAAGTCGCATTAGAAGTTTCACTTCAAAAAACATATTGTCATCGTAATTGGCACCTTTTCCCTCACGTATACCACTTGCGGAGTCTTCAGGAAGTTCTCCCATGCGCTCTTGAACTCGGAGTAGAGCTGCCTGATCTCGTCCTTGAACGGAATGTACCTCTCAACCTTCTCCCACATCACGCTCCACAGCTTCTTCGAGTACTTCTTTACGTTTGTTATCAGATCGTTGTTGACGAGGTCCTTGTACAGGCTGAAACGAGATTTTTTTTATTTATGTCGCATTCTATTTTATAAATATATCCATTTAAACAAGACTATGGAGTTTATTAAAAAAATAAATACATTTATAATACTATCAATAAGTGCGATAGTATAACATTAAAATAATTGCAACAGCACAGCTGCATATTCCAATGTAATTTTATTTGGAAAACTATTGAATGTAAAATAATTTTATTTTTCAGAGATAAAATTTCTTTTTGGAGCATGAGTTCTTCCCAAGATCATAAAGGCACAATCTATTAAATGAATATTACTACTGTTCCACAGAAAAAATCTAAGGCCTTAAAGAGAAGAGTATATGAATGGAGATTGAATGATATTAATGAATGGAATAAACAAGTTCTGTTTATAGTGCGCTATATTTTTTTACATTGCATTTTTGGACTATCAATTATAAATCTGCGAGTGTAAATTTATTTATCTTAACCTAATTCCAATTTTCACTATGCTTAACTCCAAGTTTTACTTTAAATGAATGCACCTACGACAATTTCTCGTCACACCCCAGGTGGAATCATACATAATCTTAATTGGTATTAAGTTAGCCCTTTGTAATCTAAGGCGTTGGAATAATGGAAAATAAATAAACAGATATTCCGTTAAAAGTGTGCGATGAATGTAAATTTAACGAATGAGTGAATGATCGTGACGAGTCGCATCGCGTTTCCGCTCACTCACCGATCCATCTCGTGGCCGAAGGTCGACACGTAGTTGAAGTACGGCGAGTCGGTGAGCTCCTGGGTCCTGTTGTAGAAGAAGTCCATGGCGCCCTTCCACACGGTGAACACGAACGACTCCGTGTAGTGGAGCATCTTGAAGAACAGCGGCTCGATGGACCTGAGCAGCTCGCGCCAGTACTCCGACAGCCTGGTGGTCGCGTTCACCCACGTCTCCTCCCAGTACTGGAGCAGACGCATGTGGAGGTCGCGAACGAAGTTGTCGTACTGCATTATCATCGTCTCGAGCTTGTCCGAGACGAGCTCCATCAGGTCCGCCTCTAGGACCCTGCTCACGGACTCTAGAAAGTTCGAGTAGGCGGTCTTCACCGACTCCACCACGTACGTGAGGCTCTGCTTGATAGAGCTGCTCGTGTTGCCCATCATGCCCCACACGTCGTTCACGAAACCGGGCAGCCCCTCGAGGTGGTTGCGTATCGCCATCTCGTCGAGCACGTAGTACGTGAACTCGACCACGTCGCGCACGTAGAAGTCGTTGTGCTCGTACGACTCGTTGAGGAACCTCTCGAACTCGTCCAGGTCGTCCTTTATCACGTGGAGGTCGTTGAGGTCGTCGAGGAACTCGCGGATGCGCGGCTTCGCGTCCACCCAGATGGCCCTGAGCGCCTGGTGCGCCTCCATGGGGGCCTCCTTCACCAGCACCAGGGTCTCGTTGACCTGGGCGTAGAGCAGCTTCAAGAGGGCCACCGCCCGCGACCTCGCCTCGCCGAACACCTGGGGCCGCCACACCACCGAGCTGGTGAGCAGCCGCGAGTGGTTCAGCCGGATGTAGGAGGCCAGGTCGACGGTGGTCACGTCGTCGAAGTCCCGCCACGCGTTCATCTCCGCCGAGCGCGCGTCCACTATCTTCCCGATCAGGTGGTACGAGATGTCTGCAATGGGAACATTGCCGATGGTGACGCTTTTTTATTATCACACTACATAGTATAAAAAACTGTCCCTAAAGATAGACAGCGGGACGACTTTGTTACATAGCTTAGATCTTTAAAACTACGCAACGGATCTTGATGCGGTTTTTTACTACATAGAGTGATTCAAGAGAAAGGTTTATGTTATGTTTAATACATTGCACCCGTGCGAAGCCGGGGCGGGTCGCTAGTATCTTTTTATATAAAAGTTTAGCTTCCATATGTTTTCGTGTACAAAACTCAAAAAGTTTAAAGGATCGACTCGAAAATTGTTCACAACATAGCTAATGTACAGGAGTGTTTTTATATATTTTTATTATTTCAGTCTCTGCCTGTGGCATCGTAGCCCCTAAAGTCTAAACCAATGGACAGATTATGATGCAGTTTTTTTCGTTTGAAAGCTGACGTGATTGAGATGGTTCTTAGCTATAATTTGAGTGTTTTTGTATCAAAGAGATAAAACTCACCATCTGTACTGTTGTAGTGGGCTATCAAGGACCTATCGACCATGGAGAGCTCCGCGAACGCGGTGTCGTTGCCGTTGGGGTGAAACACCACACCCCTCAATTTGTACGAAGGGTACGCCAGCTCCCAAGAGCCGTTCACCTTGTAGAAGTAAGTCTCGTTGGCGCGCTGCGGATGAGAATGAATGATCTTCAGTGATTGGGTGAATGATGCGAAATAAAGGGCGAATGGGAACTCTAAAAATAATTAAACAACAATTTAAGGTTCCATTTTCAAATTGTGAAATGCTTAGTTTTCACATCGGACTCTTGTAATATATAATTCTTTTATTGAAATATAATTACAGGCGATTGTGAAAGCGTTGTTCGCACGATATTTGAAATTGTTTGTTTGTATGCTTTGCAGGGAGCGTTGCTTGAAAATACTGAAACACAATGTAGTAGATAAAAAACGTTGAGGGTTTTTCGGTGTGGCAATCGACCAAGCGTAGTGGGTAAAGATTTAAAGGTATTATTATCAGGTATTAAAGAGTTAAAACGATAATTATATATTATAACGGTAACAATACCTCCCAGTTGACGGCGCTGTTGCTCAAGTCGACCAGCACCCTGTTGCTGCGCAGCTTCTCGTAGAACAGCGACTTCTGGAACCTGTAGAAGGTGTCCAGGTAGTACCACCTGCTGTGGACGTTCAGGTCGCTCCTCATGTCCAGCGCGAGGTTGGTGGAGGGGTGGGTGCACGTGAGGGCGAACTTGTAGTCGCGCGTCGGCCCGTTCGAGTTGTCCATGAGGATCGAGTGCAACTTCAGGTACTCCGTCTCGTAGTCCGAGTACTGCAGCTCTATGGAGACGTTCGACATCACCGCCGGCGTGGTGAGGTACTGGCCCTTGAGGGTTACGTCCTGGAATGCGGAGAGTAAGTTACATAACAGCGTATGTGTCCCACTGTTGGGCAAAGGCCTCTGTCCAGAGGGTATTAGGGCATCAACCACGCGAGCCAATTTCTTCAAGTTCTTAATTCGAAGGTATATTCGAGCACGTGATGAGAATTAAAATCGCAGTAGACAATTTCATTAGGGCCAGCACCGGGATATGAACTCGGTTGCTCAAATGTATTAAAAGCCTGTGGTAGGGCCTAGCAGCAGTCTTCGCTGTTGCAAGAATGGGCAAGTCCGTCCGGGTAAGTAACACGACCTCACAGAAGACCGGCGTGAAGTGCAAGTGTTATGCTTAGGCGTTCATATATATATATACTTCTGCGTCTGGTGAGTGAGGTAGCCGGGGCACACTTTATTATAAAGTTCATGCACGGCGACTATCGCCTAAGATCAGGTGAACCGAGCTATGTCGGTTACGTCTGTACTATGGATGTCTTCGTTACGTACAAAGACTTATTTGGAGACAATTCTGTAGCGGTGGATGTGGCCAAATACCGGTCGAAAGAAATTTAAATAACAATCTTGACTCGAAAAGAAAGAAAAGAAATAAAAGGAAGAAGAGAAAGTAAAGACAGCAAACAAAGCCTCACCTTTCTGAAGGAGGGGTGCGACAGGGTGAGCAGCACGTTGTGCAGGGCGCCGGCGGGAGCGGGGGTGTTTGCGGGAGCGGTGGCGGTGGCGGGGGCGGGGGTGGGCGAGGGGGGCCCGGTCCAGCGGCCCGTGAGCAGGGCGCTCTTGTTCTGCTCGCGCACGTCCCAGTGCAGGCGCGCGTGCCCCTCCAACAAGGCGTCCTGCAGCCGGTAGAGCGCCTCGAGCGCGAACTTCCTCAGCGGGTATTGCACGTTCACCACCACGCGCTGCGACTCCGTCTCCTCCTGCAGTTGGAAACGGCCCGGTGGGTATATTCCACGCAAAATAATAATAATAATCCTTACTATCCTTACTATCCTTACTATCCTTAAGCTCTTACTTCCTTATTGATGCTTACTAATCTTATAAAGGCGTAAGTTTGTATGTATGTATGGATGGATGTTTGTTACTCTGTCACGCAAATACTGAATAATGAATGAATGGATTTTAATGAAACTTTACAACTTACTTTCTATCTGAATGTTACGCCTTCAGCCTATTCTACGCAGTTGCGGGTGGCAGATAGTAATAAATATTTGCGGGTACATTTTTACACAACCATCTCTAGTTCCAAACTAAGCAACGCTTGTACTATGACTGGAAGGCATTTCAAATTATAATTACTGGGTGATTTGAATTTTTCTCTCTTCGGGTCTTATTTGGGTCTAAACCAAACTGCAAGGCTAATACTATAATTTATATTGACCAATAAACTGTGTGTACTCAGATGAGCCGGCAGCGCACTTACGTTTCGGTTCGTGGGTTCGATTCCCATACAGGCCAAGTATTTGGGGAACCCAAAGATAATTGTTCCGGTCCTGGATGCCTGTTAGCTGTAAAAAACCTAGCCAATATAATTAAAAAAATCGTATGTTGTGCCGACCCCACCTAATAACAGATGACTCTATTGCAGTTGCCAAGGTATTTGGCTTCGGCGTCGGAGGTCGTGGGTTCGATTCCCATACGGGACAACTATTTGTGTGACACACAGATAATGGTTTCGGCTTGTTTGTCCAAATGAAAATTGTGTATGTAAAACGTCCTTACAACACAAGATAATGTTATCCTACAGTAAGTGAAACGTTTTTAAAATAAAAAAATAAAAATACCATTGACAACATGATAAACATGTTGTGTATACCCAACCTACATATATAGGTAGGGGCGGGCAATAAAAGTGGTACCCACCACGCTCATATTGGTGACGTGGACATCGTAGTTGATCCAAACGTCCTCGGCCCATTGCACCTTGCTGCCCTGGGTCAGCTGCCGATCGAAGGCCTCGTACTTGTTCTCGAAGGACCAGGTCCGGTTGCCGTGGATGGCGGTCAGCTTGAGCTTCTTGCCGGTCTCGTAGTTGAGCACGTCCAGCTTGCCCGTCACGTTGAACTTGGTCGCGTTTTGCAGGTGGAACACGGTGGCTTGTTTCACGTCCTGAAAGGGGTAAGGCACCTTATTGTGATGGCGGCTGGGTTCAAAATTGAATAATAGCAAAGTTCACGTATTGTTACAGTAATTTATATAGTAAAAAATAATAACAATGAATGCGTGTACTTCTGTACGCGCGTGAGAAGTTATACTTCTTTGGCGTCATTAAAAAAATAATTTTTAATTGCATGCAAATAATTAATTACAATAAAGTAATAAAAAGACTGGAAAAGGATATAAATAATAAAAATAACAAAACTATGAAAGCGCCATCTATAAAAAAAATAAGCGGGTCAGCGCGCAGCTTCAAAGGTGTGACTTTTGTGTTAGTGATGCGCGCGCACCTTAAAATTTCACCCTCACCAATTTCCCATAACGCGCTTAGAGAAGTGTAACTTCGTAAACCAAAATAGACCACCACTCACCACGTTGCCGGCGCCGTCGTACTCGTGCATGTACCTCACGCCGAGCGGCGTGTGCGCGTTCTCCACCTCTATGTCCGTCGTAGCGAGGTCCAGACCCCTCTGGCTCCTGCCCAGCGTCTGCACGAAGGAGCCCTTCGCGAAGCGCACGCCGTCGAAGTCCACCGTGGCGTTGCCCCCGCTCGCCCCCCCCTGCTGCGCGTAGTAGTACTCCGTGCCGACCAGGTGCTGGCTGTTCAGCGGGATCGACAGAGACACGCCGCCTATCTGGGCGAAGCCCCGCTCCAGCTTGGCGAACACGTGCGTGGTGTTGACGGAGGCGGTCTTGTTCGGCCAGAACAGGTCCACTCTGTTGTCGGAGCGCTCCTCACAGTTGTTGATCTGCAACGCGAGCGCGGTGTGATGATGGTGTGTGACCAGCGGCCAATTCGACATGGAAGATCTATTGTGGTCTTCCCTTCGAAATTATGAGTTGTCAGGAAGATAGAAAGAGTAAGTACAAGAAAACTATCTATATTTGAGTAAAGCCACGCAGTAGCAAAAATGGGCTAACTCATCCAAGAAATTAGGATGACTCCATAAAAGGCTGACGTAAAATCGGGTCGAAGGTAATCACTTAACATAAGGTGAATCATCTTTCTCATCACCCTTTTTACTAATAAAAAATAAAGATAAAAAAGAAATAAAATATATTACTAGAAATTGATATTTATTTATTAATTGTTAATAATAAAAATTACAGATTTAAGATATTACATTTATTAATATCGTAATTAATATAATTTTATATAAATAAACTAAACAAAAACTACTATAGTGTTTGCAAAAATAATGGTCCTAAGCCGAGAACTTATTTCTACGGAATAGCTTATTTCACGAAAATCAAATACATAACCAATTTACTAAACATATTGTGTTGAGAAGGAAAAGAACGCGTGTATATAGTGAAAAGAAACAAAGTCCGGGAATTCAGGACAGTGTAGTAGCACTAAAAGGCTGAATGAGAATGTGGTCACGGACGAATGAGTGAATGAACAGATTGATACGTACATTGAAAATGGACTTCAGCCAAGGCAGCCTTTGGAAGGGCGTGCTGAAGTTGAAATGTCCGTCCGTGTGCTTCATGCCGCCGTAGCGGAGGTCCAACTCGCCGATCTGGCTGCTGCCTGGACGGTGCATTGTACCCCTGCAAGTTTCGACCATTACATTTTGTAAACATATCATTATTCATTATTCATTCATTCAATCATTTCAGCCTGTTTGAGTCCACTGCGGAACATAGGCCTCCCCCACAGACTGCCATGAAGCACGATCCTGGGCCACCTGCATCCATCGACTTCCCGCACACTTGCACAGGTCATCATATCATCAACTGAGAGTTAATTGAATATCCTGTGTATGGCAAAGTTATGGATATAACTCACGATAATATAAATAAATCTCGCGGAGCGTTGTATGTCAGAAGGTGAGAAGCGAGCTGGCGGTTCAAATGATGTTAAGTGATAACCGCCGCCCATGGACAGTTGCAACTCCCGTAGATTTGAATGCAGATGCTTTGCGACCTTCGAAAAAAGTGAGCTACTCACGAGACGAAACGCAGAAGTATGACACTTCCACGTCAGGCCGGTCTTTTGTGAGGTTGTGGTCTTTCCCCAGACGGACCTGCCCATTTGTGCAACAGCGAAGACCGTTGCGTTGCCCTACTCAATTTAATTACTGTTCCAGTGTGTTTAGTTTCGTCGCGAGGTTAGAAGAAATACGTTAGGTGACACCTGCTCTATGACAGTGTAGCTTAGGGAAAGATGAAAGCCATGAAGCACAAATAAATAAATAAAAGAGACTTGAAATTTGGTAGGAATATTCTTTTCGCCGAGTAGAGGTCAGCTAAGAACGGATTTTACTTAATGTTACCTGTTGGGTCCGCCAGTAAATAAATAAATGAATAAATAAAACTGGCCCGTTATGAGGTCATCCACCCACTTGAGTATCTGGTGGCCGTGCACCATGTCCTGCTGGTAGGAGCCCTTTACGGTGAGGGTCGGCTGCTTGAAGTAGAGCGGCGTGGTGAGCGAGTAGTCCACGTGCTTGGACCCGTTCACGTCCCACTTGTAGGAGAGCAGCTTGTCCACGCTCCTGTACTCCGCGCCGGAGGTCCAAGTCAGCCGCGCGCTCGAGTCCAGGCTCTCGTCCAGGTACAGCATCTGCGGCCGCCGTATTACGATACTATTTTCTATTGCCAAGCGAGCACGCGGTTCACCTGATGTTAAGTGACTACCGCCGCCCATGGACATCTGCTACACCCGAGGGTTCCAGATGCGTTGACAACCTTTTGAAAATTGGGCTCCGGCAACTTCACTCACCAGACGAAACGCGAAAGTATTATACTTCCACCTTACGCCGGTCTTCTGTAAGGTCGTGGTACTTAGCCGGACGAGCCTGCCCGTTCGTGCAACAGCCGTGGCTGCTGCGTGGCCCCACCGCCGTAAAACTAGTTAAGCCGTATTAGAATACTGTTAAACGTGGCATCGCCCGCGCGGCCATATGGAATTAACAATGAGTTTTTTATTATTCACCAGAATAGCTCGCAGCTGGTGGGAACTTTTCCTACTAACTTGTCACTTATTGGAATATTTTTGATAATTCATATAATAACTTTATAAATAATAGCCTATGTGTTATTCTGATGTATTAGCTATATTAATAAAGTTTCATTAAAATCCATTCAGTAGTTTTTGTGTGAAAGAGTAACAAACATCCATCCATACATACAAACTTTCGCCTTCATAATATTAGTAAGAATAGTAAGGAAATACGAATAATAACAAAGGCATGAAGAGCAAAAGAAACCCGGTCAAGTGGGAGTCGAACTCGTACGCCGAGGGTTCCGTACCTACCCACATACCGCCATGATAAAATTGGTAAATAATCACCACCGATTTTCTCAGGAACGGATGGATCAAGCAAGTTGAAATTTATACCAGATACTGAGGTCTAAAGTCCCTTTTATTGTATAAAAACAAGACCTTGTTCTGAGTCAAGACGATAAAAATATTTGGGCAAATTTAGATTTTCGCGAAAACCTATATTAATTTTGGCCTTTTCTTTTATCGGATTTTTTTCTTTATTTTTACTATATACTTTCCTTTATTTTTACTATGTACTATTACGCCACCTTGCTTTTTGCCAAATTTCGTGATTTTAGGTCAACGGGAACTAGCATATAGGTTTTCGATCCAAAACTGGGGCTAGTAAGGTAGTTTAAATACTTTTTGAACATTACCTTCCCCTTTACCGCAGTGACGATCTTCGTGACGTCCGTCGCATACTGCGCCTCGACGGCCTTCTCGGGACTCTCCTTTGAGCCCATGTCGCAGTCCAGATATAGCGTGTGCACGTCCACGTTGGGCTTGGGCAGGATCGCATTCACCACCAGGTTCAGCCGCTTCTCCAGCACGTAGCCGAACGAAGCGTTCCCGCCGATCCTGGGCCACGAGGTGTCAATTTATATCTAATCAATACATATATATGTATATATAAAAGAGTATGTATGTTCACCTAAAACTCGAGAATCGTTAGCCCAATTGATATGGAACTTAGCACACATATAAAGGCCGACATGACCACTCCGACGAACATACTTACGTTAGTGCCTGTTAGGTGGCGCCGTTGGCAGTGATTTTTATTTTATTATTATTATTACGTGACATTTTTCTAAATGAAGCGAATCGCACCGGGCACCAGCTAGTAAATAAATAAATATTTCAAGACACAGTTTAACACTACGGTATCTAGTTAAACCAAGCAAAGCTATGAGCACTAGGTAAATAAAATAAATTATGATATTATGTATTTTAATTTGTATCGAATCATCCAAGTCGAAGCTTTAAACATTATTAAATAAACGCTTTTTCTCGAGGATTCAAAGCGGATTACCGTGAGTGTATTAGAACTCGTAGGGTTGCAGATGCGTTGCTACCTTTTAATAAAGTGGGCCCTGGCTACCGCACTCACCAGACGAAACGCAGAAGGGGAGTCTCCTGCTCGATTGCCTCTTTTTCCATAAAAAAGTACTAACTGCCACACTCTGTCCAGGTCCATGCTGAAGCCCGCGTTGGTTTTCTCGAGGCCATCGGGAGAAGTGCTGTTCCCGAAGAATATGTCCAGATCGACGCTCCTCTGTAGCTGCTTAACCAACTGGTGACCAAGCGCCTGGAATTAAATGTTAAAAATTATGTTATTCGTAATTAATAGCAAATGCAACTAATCCCCTATTTTATAAAAGCACATTTTATAAAATTAGGGGATGGAGATATTTACAAATGCGCTTGGATACTTTCTAATAGCTTTATGTTTTTCGACATCCCTATTATTTAGTGAATAATTAAATTTAGTATCAAATTGGGCACTTATCCATAAACGTTTATATCTTTCAAATCATCCAAATGATTTAGTGAGTGAATTATTAGTTTTATAGCCTACAATGTCCGTTGTGTCCTTCTGCTCCTACGAAAACCTATTTGAAGCCAATTCGGTAGCGGTTGTTGAAAGAAATTTAACAAGGTATTGTTTTTACTAAAAATAAGAAGAAGAACTGATTTTGTAATCAACTGCGCCCATTATACATATACCTTTCTCTTTTTCGTTATTACTTAGTGAAAGATTTTGTAACCAACTGCGCTTCATAAAAAAAGGGGATTTATGTAATCGGCTTGTCTGTTTGTATATTCATCCCTATGTGCCCTCGTAAATGCTAAACGGGATAATAACTTATTTGATGGCATTTATTAACATATTGGTAAATTAGTCTCTATTTCTGTCATTAGGTATATTAAAAATTTTAAACTACTAAAATGACAGATTTCGACGCCCAAAATGTATGCTTTAAATTTTTTTTCATACAGCAGTCGGGTTTGACTATAGACATAACATAAACGTCTAAGTATTTTGTAAAACGTCCAGGTTTTGAAAGGATTCAACATCTTTTATGTTTTATACGTGTTACCTACTGTGTATTTCCCAATCAAATAAAAAGGCGCTTTATAAATTTTCTTTACGAAAAATTAATTCTATTTACATTAAATTATATTCTACGGTCGCTATATAAGATGTTCCTTGTTAGGACACTTAGCTTTTATAACCACTCACACACATAAAAACTCACCCTTATATACAAATCTCCGAGCAGGAAGCTCCACTTGAGGTCGCCGTCTCCCTTCATGTCGGGCAATTCGTACTTGCACAGCAGATATCCGGTTTTCGGTCCGAAGCTGCGATGAAAACGCTTTTATTATTATTTAATAGGATACTTATATTTAGTAACTATTGAATACTAATACAAAAATGCATTACAGTTAACGTAAATTATGTGTGTGTCTAAAACAGGTGATTATGAAGATATTTTTTTCGATTTGAGATGGTGGCAAACGTGCTGGCGGTTCTCTTGATGTAAAGTAATGACCGCCGCCCATGGACATCTGCAACACCCATAGGGTTGCAGGTGCCACTTTTTAGTAAAATGTCACCCGTATGGTTGTAGGTGCGTTGTTACTTTTTAGTAAATTGGGAGATGCGTAAAGAGAGGTCACGGGTTCAAATTCCCAGGACCGCGATTTAGTACTTTGGCATCTTCTACTTCATCTTTGACACTTCCGTCCGATCACGGTTAGAAGCGGGAGCATATTGTATTAATAAAAATTTATCTTCATTCAACTAGCCGAAATATTAGAGGCGAGTGATTTGTATAATACTGTTTGTTTAGTTGCGAGAGATTTGTACAATACTGTTTGTTTAGTTGCGTGAGATTTGTATAATCTTGTTTGTGTAGTCTCCACGCAGGTCGGCTGTATTGATTCGAATGACATTCGGAACGACGTGGCTCACGAAGTTGTTTAACTGATAGGACGCTTCCGTCCCGTGCCACATGACGTTTTTATCGGTACCGGCGGAATCGCGGGTAGAAAAATCTGTTAAGCATTTCAACTCATTGGCGCCGGCACCGTGGATCGAACTCGGGTGGTGTCAGAGTAGGAGATAGATAAGATTACGACAAAGAAGAAGACTCACAGGAAATCGGTGTCGCCTTTGAGGAAGCGCAGCTTCTGCAGCGGCGTGGATGCCTGCACGCTCATCACCTTCCTCAGCCCCGGGAAAGAGTCCACGCGGGACTTGAAGAATATCTCCTTGCTCTTCACATGGGGCATGTCCACCTGAAATCGGTCGTGTAAATTTGGGCTAAAGATTCTAAAAACTAGTAACTTTTTTTATTTTGTAATAAGGTGGCAAGCAAGCTGGCGGTTCTCCTGATTTTAAGTGAATACCGCCGCCAATGGACATCTGCTACACCCGAGGGTTCCAGATGCGTTGGCGACCTTTTGAAAATTGGGCTCCGGCCACCTCATCCACCAGACGAAACGTGAAAGTATTATACTTCCACTTTACGCCAGTCTTCTGTGAGGTCGTGGTACTTACTCGGACGGGCCTGCCCGTTCGTGCAACAGCCGAGGCTGCTGCGTGGCCCTACCACCGTTAACATACAGTTGATAGATAGCCGATAAATAAATAAATATTTCAGGACAAACTTTTACATATTGTTACCCAAATTAAGCAAAACTTGTACTGTTAATACTAGGTGACTGATAAAAATACTATGTTTTTCTTTTATGAATAAAAACACAATACAGATATACAAACATTCAGACCATATAAAGACACTATGTTTACTACAGCAATATTTTTCCAGGATCGAATCTAGACCCACTGGCGCGAGAAGTAGGTTAACTATCCACTACGCCAATGAGGCATTTGAATTTTACGAGAGCCGAACTCACTTTGAAGTATATATCGGTGAAATTATCTCGTATTTCCGCTTTCGCATTGACGGTCGCCTCTATGGGCCCTATGACGTGCGCGGTTAGGGCGTACACGTTGGGCGTAGAGTCTAGCTTCATTCGCACTTGTATTTGTTGACCTTGACGCTTGGGCACCAGTACGAGGGACACCTGGAATTAGACAAAAACGGAACGTCATTTTGGACCTTTGAACGTAAAAAAAGATATTTCGGTATATATCGTTGTATTTTAGTTGTATTATCGACTCGATTAGCAATTAGTGTATTCTTTCATTTGATGGACTAATTTGTAAAATTGATATAATATCTAACTTCATAGTTTTAACTTAACAGTTATACTATTTTACCAATGCAACACGAACCTGTGATTTCTTCTGTTCAAAACATTTTTTTGTCATTTTAAGCTAACTTCCTGAATCTAACAGTTAATAAATTTTGTTCATTCCTATTTCTGACATCAAATATTCTAATTGTAATTTTATTGGGAATAAAGTAGTATTTAAATAACTTTTCGTCTTTTTCTCAATCGGAGATTGCCGTTTACGTAATTGACGTTTGATAATTGTATAACTTCTTAATTGCGTACTTAAGTACACAAACACGTTTTTTTTTTAAATTTATCGTTGTGTGTTTTGTGTGAAAATTCTTTTTTATACTACCTCAAGCGGCTGTCTGTTGGTGACCTTCCCCGAAATGCTGTACTCCGTGGCGTCCGTGACGATGGAGCCCCTTATGTCGTCTTTGTCAAACTCCGTTATAAGCTTCATCGCCCTGGAATGTAACGGTCAAGATATATATAACACGGTAAGTAAGAAGTAAGCTTTGCGCAGCATATATTGAGTCGCGGGCAACCTACTTGGTCCTAACACAGCCAACGAAGTCGGATCTGTAATCCTATGGGTGTTGCAAATGTTCATGGGCGGCGGAACCGTTAAGAAAAAAGAAAAACCAGCCGGGTGCGAGTCTTACTCGCGCACGAAGGGTTCCGTACCATTATCTATTAAAAACGGCAAAAAAAAAAGTCATGTGTGTTCTATTCCCATACACCATTTAAATGTTTTTTTTTATTCTTTTATTTTTTTGGTTTCGTTGTTACAGCGGCAATAGAAATACATAAACTTTCCAGCTATCATCACGTTCATAAGACACAGCCTAGTGACAGGCGGTGTCTTATGAACAAACGTGAACGCCCCTTTTTTACCCTTTGCGTACGGAACTCTAAAAATCCACGGGCGTCCCCGATACCTGAACCCGTTGTGCGGCGTGCCGAGCGCGACGCTGAGCGAGGCGGGCCGCCGGTCCGCCTTGAGCGAGTAGAGCCCGCCGTCGGCGTCGAGGTCGAGCGCGAGCGCGCTCTGGGCGCCCTCCTCGCCGTAGTGCAGCGCGAGCGCGGCGGGCGCGAGGGCGGGCGCCAGCGCCGCGCGCGCCTTGAAGCGCACCTGCCGCGGCGGCTCCAGCCGCCACACTGCCTCGGCGAACGCCTGCGGGTTTGTTTTTATTGTCGTGTTTTTTTTTTTAATTTGAAAGGTTCCCAAGCGGCCAGTCGGATTCAAGCGCCACATCGTCTCGGCGAACGCCTGCGGATTCTTTTAGAAGTTGCCAAACGAGCAGGCGGTTCGACTGATGTAAGAAATAATGAAAATTATTTCGTACACTCGTGTAACGAGTAACTTATAAAAAAATAAGAAAAGTCTACGCATGCTTTTAAGATCTTCAAGAAACAAAATAAAGCCTATTATGAAAATTCATACAATCGTGTAACAAGTTACATATAAGAAAAGGAAAAGTCTACGCATGCTTTTAAGATCACCAAGAAACAAAATGAAGTCTATTCCCGTAGCTACAATGAAACTCACGTAGTTGTTTTGGTCCCCTTGCTGGATCTGAATGCCGCCTCCAACCAGGCTCTCCACGTCGGAAAAGTCCTTTTTGAACTCCATCTTTATGAAATAATCCTCCAAGTATGCAGAGGTCAGGTTCAGACTTCCCGACGTCTCCACAAACGGGTCGTCGAGCTGAAATAGACAACGTTATAGTCAACATCACGATCACACTTCTTTCTGCTGCCAAAGTTTATTCAACCTAGGTGGTCTGTCCACCAGTCTGTCCCGTGCCCATGAACGCGGTAACGGGTTCGAAACGTCGAGAACTAAAACCAAAAAATAAACGCGATAAATCCGTAAACATAGTTTAATTTAGCAACCTAGTTCGGGTCAACACAAACATATGCGTCATATTGCTAGATTTTTTCGTCGTACCTGAGACATCCACCCGCCTTGGGAACAAACACCTAGATCCGGAACAACTATCCGTGGGTCACACGAATACTTGTCCCGCGCGGGAATCTAACCCACGACCCCCGATGCCGAAGCTAATTATAAAGCTTATCAACTGCGTTACCGTGTCACGATCACACTTATTAGTAGCACTTAAAGTTTGATTATATTTGTACATAATCACATCACTATTATTTCAGCCCGTTTCAGTCCACTGCTGAACGTAGGCTTCCCCCACAGACTGCCACGAAGTATGATCGTGATCCACCAGCACCCACCGACTTTCCGCAGATTTGCACAGGTCGTCACTCCATCTAGTGGGGACGTCCTACGCTGCTATGGCCAGTACGAGGCTTCACACGAGAACTTTCTTTCCCATCGTAATAACTAGTTATGGTAAATTACACATGGTTTTTAATTTAACAAAACTGTGCACCACCGTGCTTCGTGAGTGCGAGCGAGAGGGAGAAATCCCCCTCCCATCTCTCTTTCTAACCCACCACACGTGCAGGTCCTCGAGAAGCGACATGGACGAAATCCCCACCACGTCGAAAGCTATAACATAAAGACTGAAACTCATCCGGTTCGTGATATTCAGCCAGGTGCCAGGCGAACAGACAGACAGACAGCGGAGTCTAGTAACAGGGTCACAAAAGGGCGGACACACCTCGAGCCTCGCCACGGCGGTGACGGTGAAGGAGGGCATGGCGATGTCGGCGGCCATCTTCCAGAGCGCGTCCTCCAGCCGGGCGGTGACGCGCGCCTCGAGGCCGGGCAGCACCGCCAGCGGCGTGGCCACGCCCACCGACGCCGCGTACGACCGGTACGCCTCGTCCGCGCCGCGCTCGAACTCGTACAGCGCCTTGTACGAGATCTGCGGACGGACTCGTTCGTTCGTTCATTCGCTCAAACAATCCCCGACATTCGTTCGTTCGTTCGCGAGCTCCGTTCGTTTGGAGCTCGGTGTTACGTGCCGGTGCGGAACACGCCCGTTCGTTCGTTCGGGATCCAGCTCGTTCCTCGCGTTCGGTCGGAGCACGGTGTTTCGTGCCGGTACGGAACACGCTCATCCGTTCGTTTGGGAACTAGTTCGTTCCACGCATTCGTTTCGAACATAGTGTTACGTGCCGGTGCGGAAGACGGCCGTTCCGGTACTCGTTCGCTCCGCGCGTCCTTTATATATCCCACTGCTGCAATGGACATATTCCACCACGGGACCCTTACCCACCACTTCTTACTATTATTATTTCGAAATCATGCAGATTCTCTCACTATGTTCTAACGATACCATCACTCCTGAACTCATCATAAGGCGGCACTTAAAATTGCGATTAACATTTTCATTTGTGAAGACACTGGGTTTTGAAGTCAGGTCGTTCGAGTACGGACACTGAGCTATCGCCGACTGAAATAATCAAAAGGGGAAAAAGAGGCTTGCTACAAGATATATTACTGACAAAGTACCTCGTGCCAGTAAGTTCCGTTATAGAGCAAAGCGACGCAGGTCACGTTGAATTTCTCGCCGAAGATGATGTCCACCGTGTATACTGACTTCAACTCCTTGATCGCTTGGAACGGCGTCACCAAATTCAACGTGTTCCGCATCAGCGTGTAGTCCTATAAAGACAAATGGTTTATACTTATTTGTTGTGAAATAAACCTGATTACAGATTTTAATCGCATTTTAATTTATTTCTTAATTCCCGACGTTTCAAAACAACATTTTAACAGTTAAATATATTTGTTGTAAAGACAAATATGAACAAACAATATTTACAATATAAAAATCAAACTAAATAACATGGTCCACGCGATATACGGACTCCTCTTAGTTATGAAAATTTAACATGCACTCAAAAATATGAATAGCTGAGTAAGAGACTAAAATCTTTCCTTGTAAACCCACGTTATATTCAGAGGGAAATACATACGGCAATTTATTTTATTCGCGTTTGGGATTCCGAAAAAATATCGATATCGATACAAACTATTCAATATCGAAAATCGTATCAAAAACAATACTTTTTCAAATCAGAGTACATAGGTGTCAAATATTTAATACTTGACATTACTTTTTTTGGACAAGTGTTGTCTAGAAACTATATCCGATGTATCGATTTTCTCTTCGATGTATCGACGCCGATATTGATATTTTTATAAATATCGATATATCCATATATTTCTTCACTTTCGACATCCCCAATTTGCCGTACGCGTTATAAATAAACATAGTGGAAACGTCGAATCACCTCCATCACGAAGACGTCGGTTAAAACGATCGGCGGTTTGTCGGGCAGGTGGAGGGTTGCGTTCGCCTCCAGAATATCCTCCTCGTCGGGCCCGACGAACTGAAAAGTTCAGTGAGTGAGTTTATTAATTTAGTTAATAGGAATTTCATAAATACATAAATCTGCACTTACATAAACTCGAAAATTGGGAAAATCCTAATTTTAAAATGGCGCCAGGTGACATGCTCATCGCATGTCATTCCTCCCTATCTCAAAATGTGCAGTGCCAGGTGATATGCTCATCGCATGACGAGGATTAATTTGCACAACGATTCTAGTGTAGAAGTTCCTCTCTAGTAAATTTTAAATTGAATACAATGTTTTAATGATATAAATTTTTATAGTTCTCTTCTTTTCACTTAATATTAAATTTAATGCAGGTTCAAATCATACGGCGAAGAAATTTTCGTCCATTTTTCTTTAACTTTTTTTTAATATAACATAACCCTTACTGCTGCATAACATTATCCTGTGTTGTAAGAACGTCTTACAAACATAACATTGTTTTTACGAAACTGTTATCCATGTGTCGCACAAAAGTCGTCCCGTGTGCGAATCGAACCCACGACGCACGGCGCAACAGCCACAGTGGAATTAGATTTTAGGATTCAATTCACTGACCTTCAGCATGTGAGAATGGAAGCTGATGGTGGGGTAGTACAGCGTGTCCAGCACCACGCTGGCGGTGGTGTCGAAGTTCTCAACGAACATGTCCGGGTCGCTCGGCTTGTGTTCGATGCGGTCTTTCACCACGTCCAACAGGCCCTTGCCGTTGTCCACTAGGAGGATTGCTATGCCGACCTGGGAAATAGTTAGACTATTGTTTTTTGGTTGCATAGTTTTACAATATGTCGGTCATTGGAATACGATGCTGTTTGGAACATAGCGGTACTGAAATATAGCATTGGAACGTGTTGGTATTGGGATATGTCAGTATTGGAATATGCCGTCATTGGGGTATGTTGCTATTGGAACATGACGACATTGGGACATGTTAGTATTGAAATATACCGACATTGGGCCACGTCAGTATAGGAACATGGCGGCATTGGAATATGTTGATATTCGAATAGTTGAAATAAGTATACGCCTGTAGTGGACTTGAGCCGGTAGTGAAGTTGAGAATTGAGCTTAGAGGATATGCCTCGATATTGGAAGAACAGAGTGCTGAATGGCTGTTTAGAACATTCGTTTGTTGTTGTTGCATCGATAAAGGTGTTTTTATTGTTTATTGGCTGTATTGAATATTGATATTACGTGGGAATATAGTTTTTTCGGAGTAAGTGGATATTCACTTTGTATTTTACTTTGGTGACCTTGTTTTATGGGAGTGAAGTATAAATCGTAATACGGCATGGCTGTATGAGATTGGTGCGTGGTAAATTGGCGCATGGCAAGATGCGATGCGACGGAATATCGGTCACTTTCGTGGAAGGGGTTAGGTAGAAGTCCCAACGACCACTGCGACCTAGGACCTATTCTAGTCTTCCCTTCGGAAGCATTGCCCCCTAAGTGTAGGATGCCGCCAGCCTCGACCGTAGCCAACGGCCGGCCCACCTTGTGCTTGGACAGCCGCAGGGACAGCTCGGTGTCGAGCCCGTGGGCCAGCACGTTCTTGAGCACCAGCCCGTTCTCCTCGAAGCCGTCCAGCGGCGTGTACAGCTTGTACACGTACACGAAGTGCAGCGGCGAGCGCCAGTGCCAGATGCCCGTGAAGCCCAGGTCCATGTCGGCCCAGCCCACGCGGAAGTCCACCTGGCGCGTCGGGCTCGGATGTTAATACTAATGGCAATAGCGATTTAATTTTATCACTATCGCGAATGGGCTAGTCCCACTCGGCATCCGCGAACATCCCCTAATAATAATAATATTTATTTATGCAATCAATACAAAAAGAAGGCACTTATTATATTCACATTTATGAAATTGGAAGAGATAGGGGGTACGGAATTGTCGAACGCTGACTCGTGTGCTAGTCTGTTACAGAAGTCAGTGCCCTTCAACATCTTTACATGTTCAGTACATCTCTTCAACCGACTTCAAAAAAGGAGGTTCTCGATTGGTTTGTATATTTTTTATCATGTTTAGTCACATCAAAACTCTGCCATTTATGATGAAATTTTAAAGGCTATTCGTTTGAGTTTGGTTCGGCTCCCATGTGTTGGGTCCACATGCACTCCGGAGATACATCAGTTAATTCCACAAGATCAAACATAAAATGTATAGAGTGCGAGACATTTAAAGTCGGATTTCTTTTTTATTGTAAAAATGTTTTACTTGTTTTAAGTGAAAAGTTGGCAAGCAAGAATTTCTTTTTTTCTACTTTCTTTCCAAAAACTGACCAGTACCGAACTAGTCTTACCTTGACGAAAGGTTTAATTCAGTAAACATTATTTCGCTCTTGCCTTGAAGGCACTCACATTAACTTTTTTCGGTCGAACTAAACTTACTTCCTTTGTCGCCCTCTTAGCCGTTAGCATGACCCTATTGAGGTACTGCACGGGCAGAGCGACGTGACCGAACACGTGGAACTCTTGCATCGAGACGAGCTTTAACAGCAACTCGATACCTGCGAAGGGTACACATAATGTCAATACAAAACGTGTGAATAAAGTTCCAATGTCTATTTGTCTAAATTGTATGAGCGTCCAATTAAGAGAGTCCTCTGAGTTGTATAGAGGACTATCTTAATTGGCGTCAACTTTGTATGCATGGGAACACACATTAATTTTCAACTTTTTTTTTGGAAATTTATTCTTTATTTGTACTGTAATTAAACCTTGATTTTTGGCAAATTTTGTGAAGCTAGGTCAACGGGAACTATCATATAGACTATATGATAGTTCCAACCCAAAACTTATAGGGTACTTCCGGTTGACCTAGAATTGCCAATTATGGTTAAGAGCAACGTCTTATAGCACAAGTAATTCCTATGGAACAAAGGGAAAATTCCTAAAAATAAAAAAAGTTAAAAATTAAGGTAAATTTTAGAACTTACAAGTTTTCTTGAAAATCTAAATTTGCCCATATTTTTTTATCGTTTTGACTCAGGACCTTGATTTTTATACACGTAATAGGGAAGGGACTATGAACTCAGTATCTGGTCTAAATTTCAATTTATGTCCACCCGTTCCTGGGAAAATCGGCGGTGACACACCGACAGACAGACGGACGAGAGAGTGATCTTATAAGGGTGCCTTTTTTTACCTTTTGAGGTACGGAACCCTAAAACAGAGCTTGCGTGTATAGCACCACGCTCGTGACACAAATGAAACTTCTAATAAAGGTAGAATTAGAGACATTAAGAGAGAGATGGAGAAATAGATACCTCTCTTCTCTCTCGTGTAACGAAATGTGCCTTCACGAGACTCGTCCTGATATTTCACTCAATTTTTATTCTCTCAGATCACTTACTTAAAAGCACAACAATGGTGCGGAGAACGGTTTCGTGAAGCCCACGACTGGGCGTGGGCAAGGAGGTCTTTAACAGTCTTCACTGTTGGACGAATGGGCATATGCGTCCGGGTAATTTTCACGACCTCACAGAAGACCAGCGTGAAGTGGTCAGTGAGGTAACCGGGGTATACATTATCTAACGGGCGGCAACGCATCCGCAACCCTACAGGTGTTGCAAATATCCACGGGCGGCGGTTTCGACTTAACATCAGGTGAACCGCCAGCTCTCATGTCACCTTCTAACATTAAAAAAACGGAGGAGCGTTGTGTACCGGTGGTCGAGTTGGGCGTGACGACCATCGCCACCAGGTGGCGCTCCTTCTCCACGAAGCCGAAGCGCGCCGACATACGAGACAGCTCGCCCGCGGGGCTGGTCACGTTCACCACCAGCATGCAGTTGGTGATGCGCCGCATGTGGCCTGGGAAAAAAGTTCCAATACATTGGGTTTGTGTAACGTGTTTCGCATTTTGGAAGGGGCCGTGGAAGGAATCGCTACTCCTCCTATGATAGCATGAGCAGAGATGAAAATAAATGTACTGTAATTAATCGTCCTTATTATTTTTAGATATGTTTCATTATCAAGTTATAACAGTCGAGAGCGGTGTGTTCTGGGGATAAGTAATTAGTAGCATTGTGGACAGGCTGGGTGTTAAGGTCCAACAACCACTGCGACCTAGAAGATCTAAGTAGCAGAGCATTATCCTGTTTTGTAAAGACGTTTTACATACATAAATTTCACGTGGACTCATAGGTAGATCCGAAAGAGTTGTCTGAGAGACACACAAATAGTTCTAGTGTGGGAATGAAACCCACGACCTCCAGCGCCGAAGGCGATAGCAATAGAAAAGCTTAAATTGAACTAACGTGACCATCACGCTTGTTAAGAATTAACTTTCGCCCCTGGCAACACCGCGAAATGTCAAAACACAACTCTTTTGAAACCCGATCGACCCGATTGTTTTGTATCGAATCAAATGAAAATACCATTAAAAATCTACAAAATAGTCGACCTATTATTTAAAGAAAATCCCAGGAGTTAGCGGATTCATTGGTGACCCCGACGTGATCTAAAGAAGAACTGCACACAAACAACATAACAAAAGCCGCCAAGCGGAGACTAAGAAATCAACAAAGGAGGCAATATTCAACCTCAGGATCTCGCCAGCCAGCAGCTGCAGCCACCTAACCGAGGGAAGTTGCTCAATCCTTGTCTATTTTTCGTTTCTTTCTCCCTATATTTGAGTAAATGGTGTCGATAGTTCTTCATAGGTACCTACATATCTACGGTAAAATGTGATTTTTTCCGTCTTAGTTTGTTACATTTTCAAATTATTTCTACTTTTGCTATCACTTTAACTAATTTCAGTTAAATTAAGCACGTTATTTCCTTTCTAACTAAATAAAAGACTACATTCTAATTACTACATTAATTCGTATCTCGTTTTACCGCGTTTCGCCCTGTCATTTGCTGTCATTGTACCGGCATTTCGAGTCAACAAATTGCAGTTAGTTTTTATCTAGATCATTCTAAACTTATTTTATTTATACAAAACATTAAGCCAAACCTATTTCTCAAATATTCCAGGCGAAATTGGAAAGCAAGCTGTGCGTAATTTCATAAATTATCGGTGAGTGTGTCGCGCCGTATTCCAGCTACGCACTGTGTTTGTGCACCGTGCCACCGTGTGACGCACATCTTACCTACGAGTGTCTTATCGGCGCGTCAGCTGTTCCGGCCGGGTACGTCGCATTGCATTGACTACTAAATAGGAGTTGTTTATTTGTTTATTGAACTTGCGTGTTTGTTGCTTGATTTATTAAATTAAAATGAGTGATCAAGATTTCAAGGATCTTATTAAGCGACGAGCTTCGTTTAGGCAACGATTAACTGTATTTGAAAAATATTTAAATCCTTTATTAGATGTGAAAGAGACTAGCAATGTTAAGATAAACGAGCTGCGCTTGAGACTTAATAGTTTGCGCAACCTTTCCTTGAGTTTTGACGAAATTCAGTCACAAATTGAATTATTAGATAATGATGAAAGTGGTCAAGCTCAATTTAAGGAACGCGAAATTACAGAAAATCGATTTTATGAGTTGATAGCTAGCGGTCAGGCGCTGCTCGATTATTTTGAGAAAAAAACAGGTGATGAGTTAACATCACACAAGTCCAATCATTCTTCATTGGTTAAATTAAAGTTACCGTCGATTCAGATTCCACCCTTTGAAGGTCATCATAGTAACTGGCTTTCCTTTAGAGATACCTATCTCTCATTAATTCATAACAATGACAGCATCGATAATATAAATAAATTTCATTACTTAAAACAGTATCTAAAGGGTTCAGCTAGTAAAGTTATAGAATCAGTGACGATATCAGCTGATAATTATGAAATTGCGTGGTCTTTACTGTGCCAGCGTTTTGACAATAAGCGGCTGCTTATTAATGAGCATATTAAGTCCCTATTTTCTATAGAAGCATTGCACAAAGAATCTGAAAAGGGAATACGGCTTATAATTGACAATTTATCGAAGAATTTAAGTGCGTTAAGTTCGTTAGGTGAGCCTACCCAGCAGTGGGACTCGCTTATTATTTATATGGCATCGGCGAAGTTAGACAGTGTTACCGCTAGGAAATGGGAGGAATCTAGGAACGATAAGGAGTCTCCTACCTTAGAGGAATTCTTTGCTTTCTTGCGTCAGAGAGCGACCGTTTTGGAGACAATTAACTTAAACAGGTCATCTAGCAACTATAACCATAATAATAAAAATGAAAGGCGGTTGTCTAAATCAAATTCATTTTTTTCTGCATCGAATGAGACTTCTCCGTCTGACAGTTGCATGGCTTGCAACCAAAAGCATAAATTATATGAATGTCCCAAATTTAAGTCGCTTCCGTTGGAACAAAGAATTAATTCAGTTAATCAGTGGAATTTGTGTACCAACTGTTTCCGTAGTGGACATTCGTCGTATAGGTGTAGGCTGAGTTCCTGCCGCATCTGTAAGAAAAAACATAACACATTATTACATAAAACACATACATCCACACAGCAACCATTCATCTCACAAACACAACAACAGCAACAATCATCATCTACTCCACCTGATGCATCAACTATAAACAATAGTATAACTGCTGCTGAGCCCCATTCTAATAGCAATGCTGATAATTCCAGTCCCTCCTCTACTATTTCTATGTCCGCCATCACCGCCAATCAAGCTGTTCTTTCCACGGCATTGGTCCAGGTGAACTATGGTGGCAATATTCACACTTTGAGGGCTGTACTGGATAGCGGTAGTCAATCTTCATTCATGACCGAAAAGGCACAGAAGCTCATCAATTGTCCCAAGAGAAAAAATAACTGTCAAAGTGTGTCGGGCTTAGGCAACACCACTCTCAATTTATCAGAGCATTGTAACTTACAACTTTCATCGCTGTATAGTGCGTTTAACTTTACTGCTAAATGTTATATTTTGCCGCGAATTACTGACCACCTTCCTCAAGCGTCAATACGTGTGCAAGATCTAGGTATCCCAAGCCACATTAAGTTGGCTGATCCACAGTTTTATCATTCCAAAGACGTTGATTTATTATTAGGTGCCGACGTGTTTTGGGACTTAATAGGAACTAATAAGTTGAATCTAGGACCTCGACGCCCTATTCTACAAGAAACGCATCTTGGTTGGATAGTTGCCGGCCCCATAAATATTAATTATTACGAAAATAATACGAGTCAAATAAGTTGCAACTTCTCACGTGAAATAAGAGAACAACTTACTCACTTTTGGGAAATCGAGGAGATCCCAAAGGATGTAAAACCTGAATTGGAGGATAATTATTGCGAACGTCTTTTCGCTGAAACAACGCGCCGAGAGTGCAATGGTAGATTTTGCGTTCAAATTCCTTTCAAAGAAACCTCAACTGTATTAGGAGACTCTCATAATATTGCAGAAGGGAGGCTAACACAACTAGAAAGGAAATTTAAAAATAAACCACACCTGAAGGACGATTACCGTAACTTTATCAATGAGTACGAACGATCAGGCCACATGACGGAGGTGGATAAACCAAGTTTTGGGTGTTACTTACCCCATCACGCCGTCATAAGGGAAAATAATGAAACTACCAAATTACGCGTAGTTTTCGATGCCTCCTCAAGGACCACAAGTGGCGTCTCGTTAAACGACATTCAGCACGTAGGACCAGTAGTTCAAGATGATTTATTTTCCATTTTGCTTAGGTACCGGCAACATAGGTATGCAATCTCTGCTGACGTGGAAAAAATGTACCGTCAAATTTTAATAGAACCCAAGCAGAGACATTTGCAAATGATATTGTGGCGCGATGAACCTTATTTACCTATTAAATATTATGAACTAAATACAGTAACTTACGGGACGGCATCTGCACCATATTTAAGCACTAGATGCTTGCTGCAACTCTCACAAGAATGCGCTGATAAAAATATATCTCAGCAAATCAAAGAAAACTGTTATGTTGATGACTTCCTTTCAGGGGCAGAGACCGAAGAAGACTTAAGTCAAATGATCAATTCGGTGACGTCAGTCCTTGACTCTGCATGCCTTCCGTTACGAAAATTTCGCACAAATGCCTTTATAACTGTTCATAACCATTCAAATGTGTCCTCGCCCAAAAATTTAGACTTATCGTCTCAATCAAGTGTATTAGGGCTAAAGTGGAATCCATCTAAGGATGTTTTGCAATTTCCTGTTGATATAAACTGTGAATCTAGAGCCACTAAAAGAAATATTCTTTCTAGCTCAGCAAAGCTCTTCGATCCGCTTGGTTTAGTTAGCCTGACCACTATCATTCCAAAGATTATGCTCCAAAAATTGTGGCTTTCAAAACTTGACTGGGATGACCCAGTAGACGCCACATTGGAAAAAGAATGGTTCAAATTCGTGAAAGAGTTAGGACAAATTTCTGATATTGAAATACCTAGGTGCGCCTTAATACCTAATGCAACTAGGATAGAGTTGCACTCGTTCTCAGATGCATCACAAGCAGCATACGCAGCCACCGTCTATATCCGATCTATTAACGATTCTGGCAACGTACTAGTAAGGCTTCTTTGTGCTAAGACAAGGGTCGCTCCAGTGAAAACTACTACCATCCCAAGATTGGAACTTTGCGGAGCTCTCCTGTCGGCACGTTTAAGTAGTAAGGTATTGAAGGCTCTACGATGCAACATCGATACTTCATTCCACTGGACAGACTCCACAATTGTACTGGGCTGGTTAAAGTCAGAACCTCGTGACTTGAAACCATTTGTTTCAAACCGTGTCTCGGAAATTCAAAATCTTACTGCTCAGTCTTGTTGGAGACACATACCCGGAGAAATAAATCCGGCAGATTTAGCATCACGAGGCGTCAGTCCTAAACTAGTTCATTCGTCCAAGATTTGGTGGAATGGACCGTCGTTCCTAATGAACCCAGATTGATTGGCCTAACAATCTCACTATAAAAAATATGTTTGAATTACCTGAAAGGAAAACTTACACTAAAAACGACACTACAACTACACTACACACTACGAACTTAACCACTACAACAACTGCAGATCCGGGCGATGTGGTGAACTTTGAAAGATTTTCGAAGTTCTCAACATTGCACAGATCTGTAGCCTATGTTCTACGATTTATTAATAATCTACGTAATAAAACCGTTAAAAACTACAGGACCTTTAACCACACATGAGTTAAGATCATCCCTAGTGACGTTAGTTAAACTACATCAACGAATTTGTTTCGCTAAGGAAATAAAACAATTATTAAATAAACAAAACTTACCTGTATCATCTCTCATTTTATCTTTGAGTCCGTTTCTTAGTGACGATCAAATAATCTGTGTTGGTGGGAGAATTCAAAGCTCATCTGAAACATACAATAGAAAACATCCCATGTTATTAGATTCGAGTCATGTTTTTACTAAATTGCTTTTTATGCATTTTCATAAAAAATTCCTACACTGCGGACCTCAACTTTTGCTGAGCAACATAAGAAGCGATTTCTGGCCGTTGAGAGGCAGAGTTTTAGCTCGGAGCACGGTTAATCAATGTAAAATTTGTAGAATCTTAAAGGCTAGAATAATTAATCCCTTCATGGGTAACTTACCCGCTGCTAGAGTCACACCAAGCCCTCCATTTCACATCACTGGTGTTGACTTCGCCGGGCCATATCTCATTCTTGATCGCAAGGGTCGTGGGGGCAAAACATCCAAGTGCTATTTATGCTTATTTGTTTGTTTTGCAACCAAGGCTCTCCATTTAGAGGTGGCAAGCGATCTCTCCACAAATACCTTCATCTCATGTTTGAAACGCTTCATATCTCGTCGAGGAAAGCCAGTAACTATATACTGCGACAATGGGACAAATTTTGTTGGAGCAAGCAACGAACTCTCAAGGTTCTTAAGGTCTAGCAATGACGACGTGTCCGCCTTCACAGCTGATGAAGGAATTAATTTCAAATTTTCCCCAGCTTGCTCTCCACATTTTGGTGGAATTTGGGAATCGGCAGTAAAATCTGCCAAACACCATATAATTCGAACGTTAGGAAGTCAACATTTAACCTTCGAGGAGCTATCGACTCTATTTGCTCAAGTCGAGGCGATTCTCAACTCCCGTCCGTTGACTCCTCTATCCGCTGATCCTAACGACCTTGAACCTATCACTCCCGGGCACTTCCTGATCGGAAGACCCTTGACTTCGCTTCCATCACCGAGCCTCACTGATGTCAAAATGCACAGACTCGATCGGTATCAACGTATAGAGCAACTGCGGCAACATTTTTGGGAACGCTGGCGAAATGAGTATCTAAGCGAATTGCAGCAGAGGACCAAATGGCGAGTGAAGCAAGGGGGGCTCCACGAAGGTGAACTGGTCGTGCTCACGGAGGAGGGCGTGCCTCCGCTTAAGTGGCGCATGGGGCGTATCCAGAGGCTCTTCACAGGACCGGATGGCATCCAGCGAGTTGCTGATGTGAAAACGTCTAAAGGGGTTGTCCGGCGAGCCATTCACAAGCTCTGCTGCCTGCCGGGATCAACCACTGGGGCAGCAAGTCCACCTACTCGAGCTCCTTCAGTCGTCGAGGGGGGGGCAAGATGTTAAGAATTAACTTTCGCCCCTGGCAACACCGCGAAATGTCAAAACACAACTCTTTTGAAACCCGATCGACCCGATTGTTTTGTATCGAATCAAATGAAAATACCATTAAAAATCTACAAAATAGTCGACCTATTATTTAAAGAAAATCCCAGGAGTTAGCGGATTCAACGCTCATAAAATTGATGAAAGTATTGTTGAACATCGAATTCATAAAATTTTATAAAATTAATAAAATGTGTTGCGGTTTTAAAAAAAACTATAAAGACGTTTTTGAAGCCCTGGAAGCAGTAAAAATACTAACGTAACCATTTTATTTCGCAAATAACATATGAAAATAAATACCATTATGACACTCTCTCGACTGAGATTATCATTGAACCTTATATGTCGAAATCCGTCAAAAGTTTTAGGATGTGGAGAGGAAATAGATATAGAAATCGAAAAACATTATTCTGCTTCAGGAGTCTGGTAAAAAACAAAACATTCAAACGTTGGAATTTCATAGACTTACCATCGACGTAAATCTTGACAACTTTCTCCTCTAGTTCCAGATAAGTGACGCCTTTCACGTCGCGTTTGTGTCCCAATATAAAGTGCGTGTTAAGAAGCCCGTTCGTGTAGCCCTGGAATTTATTCAAGTTACTATTAACTTGACGAACAAGTTTGTTCTAAACAATCGGGTTTTAACTTAAGATATATCTTACATGACGTTGACTAAAAATAAACAAATTAACAATTTCCAGGTTAAGAAAACAATCGAGAAATAAATAATATATAATAGAAATAAAATTAAAAGGAATCATGGATGTTTTTTTCTTTTGGCCGAACTTTGAAATATCAAAGAATTTGTAAGCTGGTTTTCTATCGCTTCAAATCAAAAATTTTAATCCCGACGTTTCGATTCAAACAAGAGAAAATCCCTAACAATATCTTTTTTTATTATTAAATAAGGAATATAATTTAAAACTATCAAGGTGATTGAGAAAAAATTCGGACCAAGCCGGTTTTCAATAGGAAAAGTATTAGAAAAAAAAAATATTACCTGGAATGGTGTCACGAGGGTGACTTTGCCCGTGATATTATTTTCCATCTGCCCCCTGTCCAGAGTCCATGACGAGTTTATCATCAGCATACCGTCTTCGTTGTACTGTCGTATATAAAAACACAAATGAGCATAGTTTTTGATGAGACAAGTTTGATTCAAAAAGTAGTCCAGGCCGAAAGACCAAGTATATAAGAAAATATTCCAAATATTTGCCATTCGTCAAAAACTAAATTGGACCTATCCAGAGAAGAACAGGAAATGTAAATGCTATATACAAAATCAGTCAGTTATTAAATTAGCAAGTAACAATCAGGTAAAAGGACTGGCAATTTTAAACATGGAATCACTATCTTTTTAGAAGTTGTTGTGCAGTAATTTTCAGATGATGAGCTACATTTAGTGGTTTCTCACAAATCATTAAAAATAAATTATGTCAAGTTAGCCAGTACTCTTTGTTTTTTGAAAAATACATTAAATGCATTTTATAACGATTTGAATTAATAACTTGGAAACATGGGTACTATCATAATTTTCCCCACACGCGCTCATCATAGTCATCATCATTTCATCCTCTTTGAGTCCACTGCTGAGCATAGTTGCGTAACCCGTTGATCCTGAGCCACGTGCATCCATCGACTTTCCGCACACGCAATCGCGCCTAAAGAGGTATCACTCCAGAAAGGCGGGTACCTACCTGAAAGCTGAGCAGCGTGTCGGCGCTCCTCTTCCAGACCGCGCGGTGCTTGGCGATCGCGGCCGCTTTGGGCAGCGTCGGTATGGTGGAGTTGACCAGGGCGTTGACCTCGCCGTAGAACTCGTTCGTCTTGAAGAGGTAGTCGGCCAGCAGGCTGAAGGCCAGGTAGTCCTCCTGCCAGTTCATGCTGCCGTTGAGCGCTTGCAGGTTGTCCTGGTAGCGCCACCTGGTGCACGGATGAGAAACTATTAGTTAGGAACGAATAGAGACAATAGATTTAGAGACTTTTCAGTAAGAAAATGTAAGTAGTAATATTTCACGATATTTTTTTCGCATTTATCTGTACAAAGTTATGTAATATTGACGTACTTTAATGTTATGGCACTTTTGTTTTGCTACTGAACAATTCTGCAAATATATGATAGTGTATGGTCCCGGATAAACAATGAACGAATGTATACTAAGTACTTTGTCACATTTATGTCCCGGCATTTAGGATCGAATGCAATTAAGAAGCGCTCATTATAAAACGGCGCTACGAAGAGACCGAAGAGAGTGAATGAGAAAGTGCGAATGACAAAAAATCTCATTCAAACGACCGAATCGATGTCATTCAATTGTTTTCGCATGAACGTTAGCCTCATTGCCGAGGCTGCAGCGCCGAGACCGAACAGAGTGAATGAGAGAGTGCGAATGACAAACAATCTCATTCAATCTCAGACCGCAACGCGCGTCTCCGCAAGGACGTTAGCCTCATTGCCGAGGTTGCGGCGCTCAATCGCATTCAAGTAACGCGCGTTTTCGCCCGTACGTTAAACTCGTTGCAGAGGTTGCGACGCTCAATGTCATTCAATCGATCTCATTTAATCATTCAACGTGAGACGGGGGGCGCGTGCTCACATGAGGTTGAAGCTGGTGTCCCTCCAGCCGGCGAAGGGCGTGTCGAGGCTGGAGAGCAGCGCGTAGACCGTCTGCCCGCGCGCCTCCGAGTACATCTTGACGCGCCACAGCACGGTCGCGTCGCTCGCCCAGCCCATGCGCACGCGCCACTCGCAGAACCAGTCTGCGGCGAGGGGGGGATAGAGGCGGGGGGCGATATCACAACCAGTCTTCGGGGAAGTGACCGGGAGGAACTGATTCTAATAGTTGCTAATTTGTGGGCAAGTGATGAATTTCCAAGGCGCGATGAATCAGTTTCCGGGCGTTCGCTATTATGTTTGTGGACTCGATTAGCCCGAGTCCAAATATTTATTATATGAAATTGTTAATTAAATTTAAAGTGCAATAACAACAGATTCTACTGTAATCCGGAGAAAAACTACCTCACAAAACCAGAACTACCTTTTTAAAAGGTCTTCAATGGACCTACAACCCCCGGGCAGTTTCAGATTCTATCCAAAAATATCACGAATCGGCAATAACAATGTACAGACGCCTTTCGTATCTCGAGGTGCTTTCCTTACGCTATTGGATTTTAGCCTATTTATATCTCGCTATGACATTACTAGCAACCCGCCCCGGTTGCAATACATACATATAAACCTTCCCCTCGAATCACTCTATCTAATAAAAACAACCGCATCAAGATCCGTTGCGTAGTTTTAAAGATCTAAGCATACATAGGGACAGACAGATAGAGGGACGACGTTGTTTTATACTATGCAGTGATTATTCATTTCATGCCCTTCAGCTTTATTTCGAAGAGCGCCACCTTTGAGCAGGAACTCGAACTCCCCGTTGACCACCCTGCCGGGGTAGTAGAGCGTGAGGTGTCCGGCCCTGTGCCAGCGGCCCTTATTGTCCAGCTGCACGTCCACGCTCAGCTTCTGCGAGGGGTCCCGATTCGCGTCCCAGTTGATGGCCGCGCTCAGCCGCCTCTGCGGCTCGCCGCTCCAGCGCTGGTACGAGATCTGCACGTCGCGCAGCCTGGAACATCGCGACGGACATGATGGATGCGGGAGGATTTAGCCGTGGTAGGGTCATTGCACGACGGTCATTGGACAGGTCCGTCCGGGGAAGTACCGCTGCCTAACAGAAGATCGGCGTGGAGTGGAAGTGTTATGCCGCTGCATTTCGTCTAGTGATCAAAAGGTGGCAAGGCATCTGTAAAAGTAGCTGCAGATCGGCAAGCACAGCAAAAAACCTTACCACGAGCTCCGTGCCCGATGAATCTTTACATTGTCTGTTTTTTGTTACGTGAGAAATTGGCAAACGAGCGGGCGGTTTATCCGAATTTAAGTGATAACCGCCGCCCATGGACGTTTGCAACACCAGTAGGGTTGCTGACACGTTGCCACCTTTTATTAAAGTGGGCCCCTGCTACCTCACTCGGCAGACGAAATGCACAAGGGTATCACTTCCCTTCACGCTTGCTTCTGTGAGATCGTGTCACCCGGCCTGCCACAGCCAAGGTTTATGCTCGTATGTGACCATGGGCGGCCTCCCTTCGAGAGGAACACTCACTGGTCCAGGTGAAGGTGGAGGTTGAGGTCCGTATTGTTGGCGAGGTCCGCGTTGAGGTTGAGGCTGTAGGCGCGCTGGTCTACGTCCAGCTCGGCGTACGTGGTGAACTTGTGCTCGGTGACCACCACGTGGCGCACCAGCGCCCGGTAGCTGCCCGAGTCGTACTCGCCCTGCGGTGTGCGGTGTGGAATGTTCGAGAGTGCAAATCGAATGTTATTTTCTTGTTTTTTTAATCTTGCCCCTACTTTAGAACATTATACTGTGATGTAAGGACGTTTTACAAACATAAATTTCACGAGGACAAACACCCGGAAGCGAAGCAACTATCATCGGGTCACACAAATAGTTGTCTCGTGTGGGAATCGAAAGCACGACCCCGACGCCGAAGCCAATACCTTAACAACTGCGCTACGGAGTCATCATAATGTAAGTTGTCAAATCACTCGATGGATAATTGATGAATGGATAGTTTTTTTCAAATTAACTTAAGACGAAATAGACTTTAAATCTCACTCGCGATTTTAAGGAGTTCCCTGATGTATCTCAAGAGTCCAATGCCCATTACTAATGAAATTAATATCCACATAACAGCTGATCCAAACCCAATGCAAACAAACTAAGAAAATCATGTCAACTGCATTGAGAACCTTCTTCTTTTTTGAAATCGGTTAAAAGAAAAAAACAATGTAGAATAACAGTATCTTAGGATAGATAGAGAGGTGTTTACTACTGTTTCCACAAATTTTTATTTAAAATATTTTTATCCGACAACCAAAATGAACCCGATCCAAGAAAAGTGAGAGATGTTTTTTCAAATAAGAATTATTAATGAAAAAAAAAAAAAACATAAAAATGTATTTCACGAGTAGTCTGCACTTTCAAACACTATCTGTAGTAGTACGTTTTGCATAGATAAAACTCAATTGGACAAGAATCCAATCCTCGTGGGAATCGAACCCAAGACCCGCCAATCTCCGCCAAGCCGCCGTCACCCACCTGGCCGATGAAGGTGATCTGCCGGTTGTCCTGGGTGAAGCGCGCGTCCACGGAGACGTCCTTGAAGTGGCTGCTGTTCAGGATCACCTTGAGGCGGTGCGAGGCCAGGTTGGTCTTCGACTGGTCCTGGTACAGCGCGTCCACGTTGAAGTCGACGCCAGTGAACCACACACCGACCGCGTTCAGCTGCGTTCGGACGACACGGGATTTAGTACGATACCGGTGCGTTCGGGCTAAATGCGTTAGCCATACTTTCATTTTGTAGTAGGTTCTAGAAATTAAACATTGAATGTATACTGTACGTATGCACGAATTGCCTACTATTGACTATAGAAGAGCGTGGAGGAGACTGTCTGTGAAAATTGAAATATGTATTACATATCACAAACATATTTATATTTTCTTTAGTCTGTAAAAATTAACATTTGGTGTTTTCATCCTACCTTGTGTCCCACATGTACAGGTTGGCGCGTTAAAAAATTGTGACGCATTTATACAGCGTAAGGAAATTGAAAATTGAAAATATTTTTATTCACATAGACGTTTGCGCGTTCTTATGAAACGTCGAAATTTTACATAAAAATTAATACGTTCGAAAGTTACCAATTGACGCATATTTAACGCAGCGCCAGAACAATCTTTACCATAAGGGCACAGGGCCCTCATCGTCAGGGGGCTCAAAGGCGGACATTACCGCGTTTGATACAAAACGTGACATAGAGACTGTACACGAAATATAGACGCAGCATTACTGGCGAATTTCACGCTCTCTGAAGTATTTTTTTTTAAATGGCCACCTTCTGTATCTGTACGTTTTAAGGGACTCGGGGATCTCCTACGGAATGCACCGCCTCAGTGAAGGATGCACCTTCCCCGATACCCATCTTGCATAGACTAGCAAAAGCACTATTGCTAGTCTATGAACCCAACGCTTCCTTTTACCACAGACAGGGGATACCTTAGTCCTAATCTATGTCTCGCGAACCTTTTTACGTAGGAAAAATCCTTTACGGATCCCCTGACATCGGATGGGGGACGGGCAGGGGTATGTGGGAGTCCCCGCGAGAAACGGGTACCCACTGAAAAACCCACGTTGCACCTCACTCTGTCGCATCACGACTACGGCCTTCTTGGGCCTCCTATTCGCGGGTGCCCAGTCTGGCTGTGCCGCCGCAACTGGCTCAGCACCCCCCACGAGCCAAGCCAGCAGAGGCAGCGGCAGATGGCCCCCGTGCCCCCCACTCGGGGTCCCGCTATCGGCGGATGTCCCGCGTACCTGGAACTCGTCGGTCCGCTTCTCGTGCAGCTTGGCCTTGAGGGCGCACGGGTGCAGCGTGGGCAGCGTGACGTTCGCCTCCGCGTCCACGTACAGCTGCGAGCCGGGCGGCGCGAACAGGTAGCCCGACACCACGATCTCGCGCGACCGAGGGTTGAAGTTCAGCACCGCCAGCACCGAGTACTTCGGCCCGACCTTCACCATGACAACAACGTGACAATGTTGCGATTTCTCACATCGATGACTATGGCAGACATTTAACGTCAGAACAGAAAGAAGTTCGCGTGCGATGTGAAACTTCAAAAAAATACACATTGCTCCCTCTACACCACATTATAATTATCTCGTAACCCGAAGTTTGGACATTGGATGCGAAACGAAGAAGAAAATCATTTTAACTGTGAGCAAACGAGAGGCCCTCCATAGTCTATTAAAAGTTTGAGGCGTATTTAAGTTTTTCTGTTATAAATGGCTAACCGATAACTCGGTAGCGTCGCTGAGCATTGGCTTCGGCGCCAGGGGTCGTGGGTTCGATCCCCAAACGAGACAAGCGTTTCTTCGCCCCAAAGATAATTATTCCATCATTGGTATGTTAACATCAGACTGGTCGTAAAAAACCTAGCCATTAAACACATGATAGGTGGGATAAAGCGTAATGACGACCCGAATAGCGTAGTGGGTAGTGTACCTGCCTCATGCGTCAGAGGGTGAGGGTTCGATCCCCACTACTGGAAAAATATTGTGCGATGAACATAGTGTTTTTCTATTGTCTGGGTGTTTATATATGTATAATATGTATTTATTTACAAAAGAAAAGTATGTTGAGGTATGTTTATCAGTTATCTAGTACCCATAGTACAAGCGTTGCTTAGTTCGGGACTAGAGAAAGTTGTGTAAAAATATGTCCTAAAATATTTATCATTGTTATTTATATCTATAAGGGCAAGATGACTGACAAGACGTCACGAATGAGCTTAAACTGAAGGCCGGTACCTCCTCGAAGTTGAACTTGAAGAGCAGCGGCCTTGGGGCGCGGGTCATGGCCAGCTCGGTGCCGACCCGCAGCCCGTTCAGCTTGTCGATGCGCCTGAAGGCGAATGTGAAGGCGGGGTCAGACTTCTGCTGTCTCGACGCGCTCACGTTGAACCCGATGTCGATGTGCGTCTGCGTTTTCTGCGGATCACGGTTGTTTGGTTTTTTTTAATGTGAAAAGTTGCCAAGCGAGCAGGCGGTTCACCTGATGTTAAGTGAATACCGCCGCCCATGGACATCTGCTACACCCGAGGGTTGCAGGTGCGTCGACAACCTTTTGAAGATTCGGCTCCGGCTACCTCACTCACCAGACGAAACGCGAAAGTATTTCTTATACTCCCACTTTACGCTGGTCTTCTGTTAGGTCGTGGTACTTACACGGACGAGAATGTCAACTCGTGCAACAGCCGAGGCTGCTGCGTGGCCCTACCACAGTTGGTGTTATGGTACCCATTGGTCCAAATTCGACCATCGATCGTTGAGTATTAAAAAACAAATTCTAAATAGCTTTTGTATCAATTATATCCACGATTATCTTTATATATTTAATTATTCTGTACGTGTGTATGTTTTTTTTTAAGTTTTTGTCGGATTTAAGTCGTGTGCACAGGACGTCTGTCGTCGGAACTATATAAATGTGTTACCTACATACCTATATAAATTATTATGTAAAACTCGACGTTTCGTAAGAACGCGCTAACATCTATTTGAATAAAGATATTTTAAATTTGAATATGTATATATATCTCTGTTATGGCGCGCGCAAAGAAGTTTCAGTTTAAGAATTCTAGCAGTAATAATCGGTTTAAAGCATTATGTTGTATAGCATTTAGTTTTGTTAAATCTGTTAATTATCTAAAGTTATTAATTAATTATAATAATTCACAGCAGAAACCGGTACCGGTTATTAAAGGCTCCAAGTACAATTTTAATTATTTATACATTCAACACCCAGTATTCATGATTGACAATATTGGAAAAATAGGCTTTTTACAAAAAACTGTTACAGTTATATATCGTTAGTTATGTAACATAATTTACTTATTTTGACCTCACAGAAGACCGACGTGAAGTGGAAATGTTGTGTGAAGGGTGAAGAAGTCAGGGCCTACTATGTTAAAAGGTAACAACGTATCTGCTACCTTTCGGGTGTTGCAAATATCAATGGGTGGCGGTTATCACTAAAATCAGGTGAGCCACTATCCTACTTGCCAACATGTCATTAAAGAATAATTTGGTATTTGAAAATCAATACTAACCACATTCCTGAGTACGGAGTAGAAATTGTAACCGGGATAAGCGGTGAACTCCATAGACAAGTCTCCGTACAAATCGTGCCTGAATCCGAGCCCTCTCTCGCTGTACAAGCCCTCCAATCGGATGGTCTGCTTCGGGTTCCTGTAGAACTGGTAGTCGAGTTGCAATTTTGCACCGTGCGTCGGTCCGTTTAAGGTGTAATATCCAATGAGTCTGCTCGCGAGCTGCCTCGTTTGGAAGTCCGTGCTTATGTCCCACTGCGTGACCCCACCTTTGGTCTTTACTTTGACGCTTCCTGAAATGTGAACAAAGAGCATTGAAACAGATAAAAGAGATTGATATTTTTATTCTAAGAAAACAGCCTATATTTGTCCCACTGCTCGGCAAAGGCGTAGGTAGTAGGTTCCTTACGTTGTTTTCCTTCACCGCTGAGCGCGTGATAAGTCAGCACTAAAAACTGTAATAAAAAATTTCATTGGTGCCGCGAATAACTCAGATCGCTTGTAACCGTTGCTTAAATTTTAATTATAAAATAATAAAATAGAGTAATTTGCATCATATTCAGTGCTATAAATCTATTGGCGGGCAAACGCAAGCTATTATTTTTAATTAAGTTATTAATTAATTTAATTCAATGAGTTTTTTATATATGAGACAAATGTCACATTTATTATCTCTTATCCTTTAAACGAGCAATTCTTGTATATATATATATAGATAATTGGAATCTCTGAAACGGCTCCAGCGATTTTCATGAAATTTAGTATGGGCGTAGATTCGGGGACGAAAAATCGATCTGGCCGTGTTTCGTATTACGATCATTTACACACTTTTTTTTTTTACTTTTTTTTCGATTCCAGATCATTGCTTTCTTTATCTTTTATTTTTTGTCGATTTGTTATTTTATTCCCTTTTATTTTTTTCCCTTTTTTTTAAAGTTCTTTCTTTTGTGAAAAACACCAGTTCATATTTTCTTATTATTACGTCGGTAAGATTGAAACATATTATGCGTATTTCATTACTTAGTAATTTGTATCTAAATGTAATTTCCAAAATACACGATTTACCAAAAAAAAAAAAAACAAACCGAGCAAAGCTCGGTTCCTCCAGATACTTATTATTTACTCAGCCCCCTTTTCACGGCCATCGAAGTGCGGTGCAGTCCCGCTTCTTCCCCCGCGACTCCTCCTCTATAGCAGAAGACAGGGAGAGTGGCTCCACCTCCACCACCCTCGACCTGTCCCCTGCACCCTCCCGCCCTTGAGCCCACTCGGAGCGGCTCTCTCGGACGAGCCTGGCCACTCAAAGGCCACGCAACAGCCTCGGCTGTTGCACGAACGGGCAGGCTCGTCCGGGTAAGTACCACGACCTCACAGAAGACCGGCGTAAAGTGGAAGTATAATACTTTCGCGTTTCGTCTGGTAAATGAGGTAGCCGGAGCCCAATTTTCAAAAGGTCGCCGACGCATCTGGAACCCTCGGGTGTGGCAGATGTCCATGGGCGGCGGTATCCGCTTAACCTCAGGTGAACCGTCTGCTCGCTTGGCAACTTTTCACATAAAAGGAGAAAAAGGACACTCATCACCCGAAATTACCGGAGAGCTCGGCTATGGTCTCGTTGTTGACGACCCAGTACGCGTGCGGCAGCCACACGTGGCCGTGCTTGATCTCGTGCCGCTTCAAGGACATGACGGTGTCGAACTGCTTGCGGCCGTCCACGTCCAGGGCCGCCTCGAGGCTCTTGTCGTGCGGCTGGTTGCGGTACAGCGCCCTGGCCCTGAGCGTGCTACGAGCGGACTGCAGCGTCAGCGACGCGGACGTCGACGTGTTCGACGTCACCAGCGACGCGTCTATCATCCGCTTCTCCTGCAGGGCGGAATCGAGTCAAAAGCTTATACTAGTACTTTCGAATTGTAAGCATGTGGCACAATACAGAGATTATATATATATATATATATATATACATATAGCGATAAGACCGCCTGTTGTATCCATGTGTACTGTAGTTCGTGTATAAATCGTGTATTTGTCTTGGTGTACAATAAAGTATATTTTACTTTTACTTTTAGTCCTTATGTTCCAGTAGTGGGGATCGAACCCACACCCTCTGGCGCAGGATGCAGGTACACCCACCCACTACGCGGGTATTCGGGTCGTCAAAAGATAATAGACAATGTGTGCAAATTGTTTGAATTGTAACTGCGGTAGAGCTAACTGTTGAGAATATGATTTTGTACCTTGTAACATTGCTATTGTTATAGTTGCTCTGTGACTGCATAGACAAAACTCTCTACTCTGTGTAATTGGTCAAGATGGTGTAGTTGTGATTTGAAGATGATTAAGTTAATTATTGTAATTAACTAGTATCATGTGAAACCTAGTATAAAGTGTTAAATGATGTAAGTTAAAGAGAATAAACCAATCATGAAAGCAGAGCTGCATATTTATTTTGATCCACGGAAACACATTTTCTAACAATAACTGTGGTAGGGGCCACGCAACAGTCTTTGCTGTTACGAACGGGCAGGTCCGTACCACGATTTCACCGAAGACCGTCGTGAAGTGGCAGTGTTCACTTCTTCGTATCAACTGGTGAGCGAGGCAGCTGGAGCCCACTTCATTAAAGGGTGGCAACGAATTTGCAACTCTAAAGGTGTTGCAAATGTCCATGGGCGGTGGTTATCACTTAAAATAAGGCGAACCGCCAGATCGCTTGCCACCTTCTCACATAAAAAAGTAGCTTAGTCTACACCTTCTTTTGGCGCGGCTGGGCTAATAATATATAGTTGCCGGGAAATCTAATCAGAATCCGTTCAGCCCGCATGCGGACGTCTCATACCTTACTATTTGGCGTGTCGAACGAGAAGCCAATCACGTCGGTGGTGGAGTTTCTGTCCCACTTGTACTGGAACGTGTAGGTCTTGGCCGATGGGTCGGCCTTCTCGAGCGATAGGATGTACTTGGCGGGACCGCTCATTATGAAGTACGGCGCGTTGTTGATGTTCGTCATGTTGGGGAACTGAAAAGTGATGAGGGAGATCGAGCTTTTAATTTTTCTCATCCTTTTTAGAGTTCCGTACCGGTGAAATGGTGAAATAGAACCCTATTACTGAGACTCCACTGTCTGTCCGTCTGTAACCAGGCTGTATCTCATGGACCGTGATAGTTAGACGGTCGAAATTTTCACAGATGATGTATTTATATTGACCCAACAACAAATGGGCTGCCGTCATTATCTAATTTCTGGGTATTTTTGGAAGATTGGTATCGACCCAATCTCCTTTCGTGATAGATGATATCCTCACTCCAGGAGAGAAGTTTGCAGAGTAACCAACCTGGTAGGCAGCGCACACTTTGATGCCGATTGCCTTGTCGAAGGTGGTCCAACTGCATATGCTCCTCTCGATCCTGTTCTGGTTCAGGCCTTGCTGCTGCAGCTCCTCGTCGCCGTGGAGTATGATCAGCTCGGACCTGGAAGAATCCAAAATCGTTCTAGAAGCTTTTGTGGCAGGGCGACGCAGCGGGTTTAGCTGTTGCACGAATGGGCAGGCCCGTCCGCGGGAGTACCACGACCTCACAGAAGACTGGCGTGAAGTAGAAATGTTGTACTTCTGCGATTCGCCTAGTGAGTGAGGTAACCGGGGCTCACTTTATTTAAAATTGGCTCTGGTGAACTGCCAGCTAGCTCTTTAGCACTTTCTTTCATAAAAAAGGTTTCCTTTTTTAAACAGACGGTAGTAAAACGGAGTTTATTAATATTAGAAGACTTCAATTGAGGGGTGTCCTCAGTATTAATGTAATGGCAGGCGCCATTCGGACTTGGTTGGCTGAAATGACTGTAGATGCTTTGTCGGCCTATATTCGAAACAACAATTCCTTTCTAGAAAGTCCGTTGCTCGTAAACAAAACTTATAAATCACTCCGATCGCTTTTCACCTATATAACAATATTAGTTTTATTGTTAGTTAAAAGAGATAAAATTTCTGTAACGGGCAACCATTCGAACAATAAACCGGCATTAAAATGTCGTAGTTAGCAGCCAACACAGGTACATTCGAATTTTGATATTCGAAAACCTATCAAGACTGGGAAATTTTTTGATATCGAACATCAACTGCCAGTGCTATCAGAGTAAATACATTTTAATTGATAAATGTCTCTTATATCACCCAAAGACTTCATCAACATCTTTATTTTAAAAATAAATTTTAACGTTTACTCGTCGATTATCTATTGTATAATGTTCTGTCTAAACCTCCTTCAAATGGCAACAAGTGCACGCAGCTTAATTTATTTTAATAATAAATCATAAAACAACAGGAGACAGTTTATAGAAGTTTAATTAATACAAAAGATCCCATAAAAACTGGTTACAGCTTGATACTGAGCATTACTCACTTGGCGGCGAAGATTTCCTGCTTGTCCCGCGGCAGCGAGAGGTCGAGCCTGAGCAGGCCGAGTCCACGCGCACGCTCAGCGCCGCCTCGAGCGCCGTGGCCGTGTAGAGGCGCGCGCTCAGGCGCACCGCGCTCGAGCTGAGCGCGCCCGCCACCACGCCCATCGTCGCCGCCACGTTCACCGCCACGCTGCCGAATTGGACATTAGCACTTTGGCTTTAAGGCTCAAAATCGATCGGCTTGTCGCAGGTGGATCACGCGTGAAAAACCTAAACTGCCAAAACGGATTTTAGCGCCGTTTTTTTAAAATACAAAATCAATTGGCATGTCGCAGAGTAATCAAAGTGCGATAGGAGAGTTCTTGCGTGAAAAAGTGGTCACATCTACAGCCACTTAACAATGCGAAATTGAAGTTAGAACTTTAGCCTTAAAGCTCAAAATCAAACGGTATGTCGCCGGTGCCACAGTGATTAACTTTAAATACACAATCTCGGTAGTTAAAAAAAATATATTGATTGCTCACCTAGGCCTGATCATGCCATTGAAGTCCAGATTGCCCGACTGCTCGTATTTGTCCACGACGGTTCCAGACATCTTGGTGTCTACGTAACTGGTGCCCATCAGGTTCATATTCAGAGGTAGACCGCACCCAGTGGGCACGGAGAAAGTAGTGTCGAGGAACAGCGACGCCTTGTTGTATTTTATTTCCTGAAGTAGAAAACCAAAATCGATATTTTTTTAAATATTAATTTTCTGTGATTACTGTAAATTAATAATTTTTGTTGTTTTTTAAAACAATTAAATGTTTATGTGGAATTCCACTGGACACCGTAACAACTTAAAATAGCAATTGCATACAAATATAGATCTTCGATGTCATTTCAAAACGGATATCCCTCCAAGTACTTAAGCATACTCCGTCCATAACTGGTGAGGTGGTGAGCCTCAGTCCGCATACTCATAACACGAAACGCTATAACATACAAGTGACGCCGGTCCTCAAGGTAGTGTTTCCACAAAACCTAACAGGAAGAGCGTCAGTCCGTACACTCATAACACGAACCACTACAAAAAAACTCAGAATTTCCGACGGTGCTTAGGAGTGGTTCGACAGAACTTCTGAATCCAGAAGGAAGCGCCACAGTCCGCACACTCATAACACGAACCGCTACAACAAACACGCAATACCCGACGGGCCCTTATGCGTGGTTCCACCAAAACTCGGAATCTAAGAGAAACCGCCCCAGTCCGTACACTCATAACTCGAACCGCCACAACAAACACTCAGTTCATAGCAGTATTTACGCGTGGCTCGCCAAAGTCCGCCAGCTCACCTTGCCGGACAGTATCTCCAGCACCCTCAGCTTGGGGTTGAGCCGCTCCAGCGACCGCATGATCTCACCGGGGCCCTCCGCGCTCCAGAAGGCGATCTCGTTGCCGAACACCTTGATGCCGAGCTCGGCCACGGGAAAACGGTGCTTAAGGGCGCGGTTCTCGTAGCCCAGCCCGTCGATTTTCCCCCGCAGCCGGTCCGCCTCGTCGACGGAGCGGAGCACGCGCAGCTTGCTCACTCTGTCCGCGATGTCGTCCTTGTCGAACGGCGCGTCCTTGCCGAAGAACGCCTCGAAGTAACGCTCGAAGCCCTCGCCTCGGGCCTTTATCTGTGAGGGCGTCGATTAGGATCGGATTGAAAAAGGGATCGGGAAAAATAACTATTTGTGATTGTGATTTTTATTGTGGTGGGGGGCTTAACATTTTTCAAATATATCAAGTAGATTGAGACAGTAACGCGATAATAAAAATATACGCGAACGGTATACAAAGATGTGGGAATGCATAGTTTATTTATTTATTTCAATTTATGTAAATAAAAAAAATCTTTGTACAAATTCAAAGCATTTCTTGCCAACCTAATGAATGGTCCCGAAAAGTTGAAGCAGGTGCACAAATAAAATAATAATTAAAAAAATATAACAATTATTGTAATAAATTCAAGGGACAAAACCACCCTCACCTCTAGCAAATTGATGGATTCACCAAACATGTCGACGGTCAAATTGAGCGACACGGATCTCGGGATGTAGGAGTCCGGGGAGAAAACCACGTTGGCTTCGTAATTTCCACCTGCAGTACACAAAAATGGTAAATATTAAAAAGTACATTGAACTATGTGTTCATAAGTTGGATTATAAAAAACCTTATCTATTTTTGTGTCAAAAGAATGCCTTAGCTTATCTTTAAATATAAGAATTACAATATAATAATGCAAGAAAAAAATTTAATGTAATGTAAAAAATAAAATAAATGAAATAACAATAAAACTAAAATATAACTTGACCATGCTGTATGTTGATTGTGAAAACTCTTCATAAACTTTACATGACATTGCTCAAATATTGTTTTCTTGATTTTACGCGAATATTATACATTTTAAATGAAACTACGCTGGAAAGGGTTCGAAACGTCGGACGTCAAAATAAAAAACGCGATAAAATCCGTAAAGTAGTTTCATTTAATATTGCTCAAATGTTTTTACTTATAATTCTCTATCTCTCTTATGCTAATCTTTATGTCCTATTTTCTGCAGTGGAGTAAAACAGGCTGAAATGACGATAATAATATCGCTTTACTGTATCGATGGAGCACAAAACATCAGCAAGCAGGCAATTTGGCTGTTCCATGGGCACCGTTCAATAGAGTTCATTCAATAATCTACTTGTGTACTGTAAAAACCCACCGGCATTGTACTGGTCGAAGAAGATGCTCTGCTCGTAGTTCCTGGAGAACATCCTGAAGTCGGGGCTGTCCTCGAGCTGGGGCATGGTGTTGCCGGAGAGCAGGCCCTGGATCTCCACGCGGGACGGGAGCGACGACTGGCCCAGGTTGTTCAGGTGGCTCCACACGAACGTGGCGACTGTAACGGAATGGTGGTTCACGGGCGCAATAAATAATCTAGGATCCATTTTTATTTCTAATCTGTGCTCAAAGTGAAATTTGCCCGTGCGCTTTGGTTGACTTGAGCGGTCGGGGTCGTTACACAGAAGAGAAATTTCAACAATATGCCTAGGGGCCGTCTATCACGTGAGGCTCGAAAGGGGGAGAGGGGGGTTTCTTTCGCCGGTTCTTCTCAGTACAGTGGCTTTCTTTTCCGAACCGGTGGTAGTGTTTTGACTATCAATAAGTGAGTGTAATGCTCCTATGTTGAATAAATACATTTGATTTTGATTTTTTGGCAAAAATCAAGAAATATCATAAAGGGGGGGTGGGAGAGGGGGGGGGGGTAGTAAGATATTACTTGTATTTATTTTTCATCAAACGAATCGCTCGTTTCTAATTCTATATTGTAAACCGAAAAGCGGCGTGTAGTCACAGATAGTAAACAATATAGCCAATAGAAAACAACATGATTCACACGTTCTTAACACAATATCGGTACAGCACTTTTTGCTTTGCCCTGTGAATAAAAGTACGTGTTTACGTTATTAACGAAATATTTTTATTTAATCTATAAAAACATTGTAACTAGTGTATTATTATGATAATATTACCCTGGGTTATAAGGGCGTTTTCCCACACACGGATTTATAGATTCCAGATTTGGTTAAATTGTTAGTGGACACAAATATCACCCACGATCCAAACGAACAATTAATAACACATATGCGATAATTAGTTTAAAAACACTGTAACAGTAATGATATGAGTAGTAAGACCGTCATCATTAATTAATCACTATCACACATGAAATAGGTCTGTAAACAAAGTACTGCTTGTTAGGCTGGTGGGGCATAAAAAATAAAGATTGTGAATATAAAATATCATGATTTTTTCTCTGTTAGGATAATGATAAGATTTAAAAGTTGATCAATATAAGGGTACAACTTTATTACGTTTATGTTTTTGTAAATTATTTCACCTTGATTGACTGGCTCATTCCTCAGCGCGTGGAATATTCTTCTGATGATGCTGAGGTCCGGGCAACGCATCACTTGTAAGTAGGACGCGATACGGACCTCTACATCCACGAGGTCTTCGCGGAACGTCTCCAGGAAGTATTCTCTGAAAATATATTCATATCTTTATTATTCATTCAAGATGCTCGCCGGTCAGTATATCAGATTCAATATCGTTTTAATTGATTATGTTTAACTCAGGAGAACTCATAATAACTCATGGGAACTCATGATAACTCATAGTAACCTCGTCTCCGTGCATGGAGTCCTTCTGAAGGCGTCGATAGCCGTCAGCCTAATGTGAACAGGTACCAAAGCATCGCCGATTAGGGCCATAAGGACATCGGCAAACTCCTGCCTGAATCCACCGATGTTACCCAGAGCTTTTAACGCGTGCACTATCTGTAAAAAACACGTTCAAATAAGAATTTGGTCACTTTAATATTTATACAGTATTTTACATGTTTTTCTTCTTTAAATATTTAACATCCTGCAAACTTGTATTGGAGTAAAACATACAATGAGCAAAAGAGTAAAAAATAATTCGTAACGAAAACATCCGCAGTAGAACCAAGGTAACCGACATAGCTCAGAGGATTAGCAAGCTGAAGTGGCGATGGGCCGGCCATATAGCTCGTAGAACCGATAACCGTTGGGAAAGAAAGGTTCTCGAATGGCAGCCTCGTACTGGCCTTCGCAGTGTAGGACGACCCCCCCACTAGATAGAGTGACGACCTGTGCAAATGTGCGGGAAGTCGACGGATGCAGGTGGCTCAGGATCGTACTTCGTGGAAGTCTATGGAGAGGCCTATGTTCAGCAGTGAACTCAAACAGGCTGAAATGATGACACAATTTTTTTTTAAATATTGCCCTTACCTTAGGATAATATTATCCTGTGTTGTAAGGACATTTTACAAACGTAAATTTTACACAGACAAACACCCAGATGCGAGACAATTATCCGTGGGTCACACAAATAGCTGTCCCATGTGGGAATCGAACCCACGACCCTCGACGCCGAAGCCAATACCTTGGCAACTGCACTACGGAGTCATCAAACAATGAGCACTGACAAACACCCAGATCCGGATTAATGTATGAAGATCATTGCTCTGGGTGGGATAGAACCTACGAGCCGCGGCCCCAAAGCCATACAACCGCAACTGTACACCTAAGTACAGCGAGAGCGAGACAGAGAGCGTGGACTGCGGCACGACAGAGACGGCAATACGGGAGGGCCGGGGGCAGAACCTATCCCATCTCTCCGATTCCCACAAACTGTGCAGGGATCGGAAGAATTTCAGATGCACTAAAAATCCAAATGCTGACGTGGTTAATGTCAGATGATAGGTTATATGTTTGTCGCCGTACCTACATAAGGGCTATGTTGCCAACTATATCAAATCAAAAATATTTTTATTGATATAGACTTATAATTTTACATAAAATTTAATACGTTCGTAAGTTACCACCTAAAAATACCACATAAAACTGCAATACTCCATTAGAATTTCTCACACACTCCATCAAAATTGGGTTCTCATTTTGCGGAACGTCTCTACAATTAAGCAAAATACTTGTGCTTTTGTAATAAACAATAGTAAAAGTAATTTATAAATAAAACTTGTAAAGATTTTTCTAACTTACACGAGAAAATAATACAACAAACGTCATACATCTTTATCAATCTAACCTAAAACTACCCACTAGTTTAAGTGTTTGACTTACAATTTATTTACAGGTGTAAAATTTAATGTACAGAATTGATTATTAAATTAGTTGGAGGTAAAAATATGATTATGTTATTACATTTGTGCGCCAGTTAAACATTTCTATTAGTTACCTTGTCTCTGTCTTCGCGCTGTGCATTTCCGAGACCTTTGTCGATGACCTCCATTACAATTCCTTGGAACTCTTCCATGATTTGTTTCGGTGTCTCCCCCTCGCAACACTCGCGCACTGAAACGAGAATTTACACGTTAACAATAATAAAAAAAAACCCATAGCCTAAATGTTTATTCAAATTTACATACAATATTTGAATTCATGGAGTGTATGAGAGTATCAATTACTTCTCATTCTCATGGTCTCTTACGAACGTGTTAATTTCTTTGTAAAATTTTGACGTTTCATAGGAACGCGCAAGCGTCTATGTGAATAAAAATATTTTATTATTATTTGTCGGGGATATTTATTTGTTTTCTCATCTGGTTGGGTTTATGGATAAACATATAGATATATATTGCATATATAAAATAAATAAATAAAATATAATATTATTATTATTATTATCATGTGTTTCAATCTTTACATACATAATTCTTCTCTACTTGTGTATGTCACAGAACTCCTCCTAAACGGCTGGACAGATTTAGATGAAATTTTTTGTGTGTCTTCAGGTCGATTCGAGAATGGTTTAGATTCATTTTTTTAATTTTTTTAAGTTATTGGCTGTTCGGTCCGCTAGTTTAATATAAGAAACCATACAATAGTGAGAGCAGAGTGGCGCTAGTGTCGCGTAAGAGTAAGACTTGAACGATAACTTGATAACGTAGGGTTCGGCCACGGCGAAGTAGGAACACAAATCAAAGAAGATAGACAATAGCCATCACTAAAAACTAAACTTTGCAATGCATCACTTGTATTTTTAGGGTTCTGTGCCCAAAGTGTAAAACTCCCTATTACTAAGAATCTGCATCACTTGGCCGATTTTTTACTCAAAGGAGACTAGATTTAGATGTAAAGGAAGCTGCGGTTTATAGTTGCTAGTTCTATACAATATATTGGCAGCTATGCTTTCCTGTCATTACACAGGGATTGTAACAATATTTTTCTGACATTTCACTGTTCAAAGGATAGATTTAGATTATTGCAGATAGATAGAGTATTATGGTATCACTTATATAGATTTGAACCAATTACTTACATGATTTACCGCTATGTTTACAATATGAATGCACCATGGAAGAAACGGTGAAACTGATTACTTTGTCATTCTTCTGCTTCTGCAGTAGCTCCAGCATGCTTTTCAACATTTCCAATTTTGGCCTGTGAAAATTGAAATATTAAAAAAAAATTAAGCACTGACAAATGTAATGAATTTAATTAGAATAAATATTGATTCAAAGATACGGGGTCTCTGCCATTGACAATGATGTTGATATTTTCGTAAAAGTAACATCCATTTAAACACTTTTTACGAAGAATTAATGATTATACCATTGATAGACAATGTTTACTACTTCAAGGTCATCAAAGATTTTGAATTAAGTTATTACGATTTAGTGATTCGTATTGCGCAAAAATTTCGCAGGCATCACAAGCATTTATGTATATACATAACTACAAACAAAATATAATAATACTGTGTCTAAGTAAAAGTATTACACTTTTTCATCTCACGAGGTAACTGGGGCACACATTCTTAAAGGCTGGCATCACATCTGCATAGGTTGTTTGTTAACACCATGAGGCGATTACCATTTAGGAATAGCTGAACAGCCTGTTAATTCACACCTTCTTACATTAAAAGAAATAGTACAACTTTTACTTAACTTTAACTTAGTTCTAAATAAAACTTTAATTGACAATACCTTGGTATCATTGCCATTGACATCAACCATTCATGTCGTGTCTCTTTATCCACATCTTCATTTATCACCTTGTCTTTTATCAATTCCACAGATCCAGTACTCGCTATGTAAGGTAAAGCATCCAGGATATGTTTTCTGTAAGAATTGTATAGACAGTTATATATATCATGTTTTAGTACTATTATTGTGAACTCCATTGACTAAAAGAAAATTGAAAAAAAGTATGTACAAGTATAATATAAAAGAACAATTTTTCAATATGGCTTATTTAAAGTAGTGGAAAACAAAATACTTACTTACTTAGTTATTTAATTAAGAAAAAGAAATTAGAACTAGAATTAGGTATAACTTAATAATTGAAAGAGTAAAGGGAAATGAGCTGATTGATGCATAGTCTAAAGTTCGCGGGTTACAAACTTGCAATTTCTACTTTAGTTGATTTTTCACAAGTATTTTTGAAATATAATGAATATAACGAATAATAAAAATGAAATTTGAAAGGAAAATGGATGTTAAGCACTTTTAGCAGATTTATAAATTAAGGTATTTTCTTTCATGTAATTGTATACGTTTAGGAACTTTTAGCAGATTTATGAATTAAGGTATATTGTTTTTTTTTTCTTTCATGTAATTGTAAAACTTTAACCACTAAGGAACATATCGAATTTGTGGTTAAATTGAAACTCCACTCACGAAGCAGCCAGGCATATAGTAGGGGCACGGGCTAGAAGTTGCGCCAGTGCTGGATGGTGCAGCTTACGTGCGGACCTCACCAGCTGGCCCCAGAGGCCAACAATGGAACCGCTGTCCATATTTTCGTCGACACTTGTATGCTCACTGTCTGCCGTTTGCTTCACCCTAGAATTAAAGACGTATTGCAACAAAAGTGACCCGGTGGCGCAGTTGCTAAGCTATTGGTTTCGGCACCGGGGGTCGTGTGTTCGATTCCCACATGGGACAAGTATTTGTGTGACCCATCGATAATATTTCTGGATCTGGGTGCTTGTTACCAATGACGGTTGACGTCAGGATGGCAGCTGGTCGCAAAAAACGTAGCTAGAACCACTTACAACATGATCCCCAAGTTGTACCGTCCCCACCTGGGTGGGGTGAGGGCAGGAGGATGATGATGATGACATTGTTATGAAATTAAAAATATTACTTATGTTGCTGCACCAACTTACTTGGCTTACTTAATCCAGTGGGTTTGAGTTGTTAATTTTGTGTTTGAGTTTTTTTCCTTCTAATATATAATAATAAACTGTCTCATTAAAATGCAATTTAAGAAATGTGATAATTCCTTTATTTCTTAATCATTATTTTTTAACCGACTTCAAAAGGGGAAGGTTCTCAATTCAACTGTAGATAACCTCAGAAGTTTCAAATGAGTGAACCGATATTGATGATTCTTTTTTTATTTGAAAACTGGTGCTTCCCATGTGCTCCCATATTAATTTCATTAAGGGAATTATAAAATTAATACAGAGCGAGATAATTGAATTCGGTTTTTTTCGTTAGTAAAAAAATGGTTATTTATATTTTCAATACATTAACTAACGTCAGATCTGAATGCATATGCAAATTAAAAATACTATAAATATTCAAATAATATATTTAAACACTTACAGGCAAAGTAATTTCAGGACATCTCTTGCAGATTTTAACTCGCCTGTTTCACCCTTATTATGTGGCGTATGGTGATGTAGTATATTTGAGCGCTTATGTATAACTGACCATGCTAAAATAATAAATAAAAAGTGATTCCTTGAAATAAATATAAGCACGACAGATTTTAATACTTAATTTAAATACAAACACAGAAATGAAACCAAAAAAATAAATAAAATAGTGTATACAACTAACCTTTAGGCTGTGTTTCCATAATTTCAATATCAGTCCTATTGAGCTCACGGATCAGGACTAAATCTTGAATAACCGTTGACATTGCACCGGAATTCCTTCCCGAAAAAGGTTCAAAGAGATGTCTCTCGCGGCAGTTAACAGTTTTGTATATATAGTGATCTACGGTTATACGACATTTGCTCTCTGATTTAAGTACTGGCCACGTTTGGAATTTCTAGAAAGTAAACATTTTAAGATTTAGGAACAATGTAGCTCGGTTACAAAAACAATGTTTTGCTTAGCGTAAAGCTTCTGGGCGCAATTACGGAAGAAGCGGGTTCGATTCCTAAAAAAAAAGTAAAGTAACAGCCTATACATGTCCCACTGCTGGGCAAAGGCGTCCTCTATACAGAGGGTATCAGGGCATAGTCCACCACGCGGCCCCACTGCGGATTGGCGGACTTCACATATCTTCGAAAAATATTTTTTTTACACGATGTTTTCCTCACGATGTTTTCCTTCACCGCGGAGCACATGATAAGTCAGCACTTAAAGTTAAAAACTTCATTGGTTCCGGCACCGGGGATCGAACTCAGGTTGCTCGAGTATATTGAAGTAAAGGCGAGCGCCCGGACACTGAGCTATCACGGCTCATTCCTAAGGCGGCGAAAAATATTTGTCCACGTTTCCTACAAACTTTAATTATTCTCAGCAAATAAAAAGGATGCTTGTTAATACTTCAATACACAACTGTTAATCTGGGCATTTATATATTAACCAAAGCTGCCGTGTGACATTGTCACAGTGAAAATATTTGATATGCACATGATACATTTACACCTTTAACTTGAGGACAATATGAACTTTACTTAAATAAATATGAAAGTTTGTATGCATGGATGGATGTTTGTTACTTCTTCTTCAAGCAAAAATTACTGAAAGAAGCCATCTGCGAGATATTCTGGTGTATAATAAAAATCTAAATGTTAATTCCATTTGGCTATTATTCTATAAAATAAAGTTTTATACTTACACTTTGAAAATCGTAACGAACTGTTTGTAAAATAGACATGTACTTGTATCTGTCTGTGCACAGTGCCAGATTTCTTTTTTTCACTAGAATAAGGCTTGTATTTTCTTGCCCTCGTACATCATACTCTACATTGCATGTACCATGGATGTCTTGCTGTGAATAAATACCACAAATTGAATAAAAAATACACCGAAACTTCATTATGGAACAATCACTATTTCTTTATGTGCATTTAAAGAAAATTCTGTAATGTTTTGTACATAATTAATAAAGTTAATTGTATTAAAAAAAAAACTATTAATAAAAACTTTTATAAATGACAATCTATTATTGTGGTACTATTACCGTGGTACCATGCAATAGTCTTTGCTGTTCAACAAATGGACAGGTCCATCTGAAACACAACAACCTCACAGACCGGCGTGAAGTGGAAGTGCAATACTTCTGTGTTATGTTACTGAGATAACCGGAGGTCACTTCATTAAACATCTGCAACTCGTAAAGGTGTTGCAAATGTCCATGGGCGATGGTTATCACTTAACACCAGGTGAACCGCCAGCTCACTTGTCACCTTCTCACATTAAAAAAAATTGTCTGACCACCTGAAAAAACCAACTTAAACATTACTGCTCCTAAAATATTAATTATTTATATTAAAAAAAGTAAAGTAAACTAAAGTAGTGAAGGCTTCCTTGCAAAGAGGGCATCCACCATGCGGCCCCACTGCCGATTAGCAGTCTTCACATATCTTGGAAAAACTTTTTTGTGATTATTTCAAAATAATGCATGTTTCCTCATGCTGTTTTACTGCACCACTGAGCATGTGATAAGACAGTACTTAAAATTAATTTCATTGGTGCCGGCACCGGGGAACTAACCGGGGTTGCTCGAGTATATGCAATTAAAAGTGAGCTCCTGAAGAATGAGCTATAATGGCTACATTATTTATATATTCATTAAGAAGGAAGGTTTTTAAATGTAAATGGAGGCAAAGTAATATTATTCTCATTTTTATTTCATGTAAAAGATTTATACCTCAACACCATTAAAGTCAATGTCAAACCTCTTCATGCTATTTTGAAAGAGGGACAATATAGCTCTCTTGAAATTGAGGACCCAATCCTCTTCCAAAGGGTTAGGACATATTTCCGATATGATGCCATCATGAAATGCAAATCTGAAAGAAAGTTAAGAAATTTTATTTCAATATATTAAGAGGAGACAGGTTAGGTTTTGTTCAAAATTGTCAAACATGTTATTCATCAAAGAGCAAACATCCACCTGAGATCATATTGTGAGACGGCTTGTGCAAAATTCTCCGCTCTTTCCACCGGATAGTTTTCATCTTGATCTCTAAGGGTAATATTTTGCAAGTGCATCAACCCTTCGCATGGGGTGATGAATTGTACTTTTACCTGTAATAATGAAAATTTCATATAAGAGAAAATGTTTCATGGGAAACAAATAATTCAAGTTAACAGATACAACCATACATAGGAATATTTGTGTGTTGAAAGAAGTAATGAATTACACAATAAAGTAAAATAACAGCCTAAACATTATTTGTTTAACTGCTAAGTAGCCTTATTTTGAGCATACTCTCACAGAGTGCTAAAAGACCCCATTGTGGATTGGCAGTCTTCAACTTTCTTCAAAATAATTAAATACATATTTCGAAGATAGTGGAAGAGTGCAGAGGCTGGCTTTAGATCACCTCACTGTGTTTTCCTTCACCAATTATGTGGCAAATCAGCACACAAGATTAGAAGTAACAATTTAATGGATTCGAGCACGATTTAAACTCCTCAAGTATAACGAATTTAAAGCAACCGCACTGACATGTAGTGACAAGGGTTGTTTTGTTTGAGTGACCAAAGATGAGATAATATAAAAATGAATTAAAGATTAAAACACTTCAAACCAGTGAGGTTTTGATAGAGTTAAAGATAGTTTACAGAGTAGAGCTTCTAATGAGTCCACTTAACTAAAAACTTAATTTAGACTTACCTCGGCAGTTATATTCAGTGAAGATCGATTGTTACTCGATCCAGCAAAATATGTTTCCACTTCAACTTTGTACTCATAATAATAAACTGTTTGAGATAGGTATTTGAATTTCGAGGAAGCTAAAAAATATAGTTTTAGTACTAACAATTCTCTTTTTATAATATAATATATATATACTAATATGTACTATTAAAGTAATATATCAATAGAGCATACCTGTACATGATGGCGGTCCACATATATATGGATCTTTTAATAAATCTGTGAATAAATTAATATCATTTAACTCTAAATTCTTTATAAGAATGAAAATTTAATAAGTCGCAAAGTTTTAGGTTATACATGTTTTATTTATAAACAAATGATAAATCTACGGAAATCTTGTTGCCATAATAAAAGTTGAGAGTTTCCCATCCTATGTGCATATTTCATTTATGGTATCATTCCTTTTATTAGAATAGTAGATTTTGTTGCGAGGTAGTAGGTGTAGGAATGTATTGCACATTTAGATCTACCGAGTCTATCTATAACTAATAGCAATAAAGTACAGATCAGACGTTGGTCAAATTATCTTTATATTTTTAATATTCCCTCTGAAGGACTTTGCATCCACGATCATGAAATAAATTAAAAAATATCAGACACAAAATGTATGTAATTTTCAAAAAATATGTATTTTTACTAATCAAACTTAAGCTGATAGGACTAAATATAATAAACTAGTATAAAATACATGTAGAATAACTAGATATATTTACCTACATATTTTTTTATATTGAAACATATATCGAAAGAAGATTGATAGGTATTACAGTACTTAAGAGAAATGGGGAAACGAAAGTGATTAATTTAATCATGAAAACGGAAAACTATAAACTTTTATTTTAATTTATACAAGCTCTGTCGCACAAGCTCATCTCTAGAAATTTTAAGGAAGAGCATGCACGGACTTGAAATACCTAATAGTGAATTAACTGAAACAAGTGTTATGTTTTAGGTTGTTTAATAAAATACCTGAAATTAGAATCAAAAAAATTAAAATTAAATTAAATTATGGTTATCATAACAGTCAACGGTTATCTATTAACTGCGTATGGAACATGGATGTAATGAATCATTGAACCTCTATTTGAAAAATATTTATGAAATCATGACTGTACCTATTAATGTTTTTACAGTTAAACGATACACGCCCGATTTAGTAGCTTTTTTTTAAAGTACCTACCTCTTTTTTTAAAGTACCTACTAATAGGTTTCGAGTAAATATTTTGTATACAAATATGTGATTTTATTACCTTATTTTTATCGTAAAATTCTGACGTATTAAGTACCATGTTAATATCATAATAAATGAGAAAAACAAATAAGCAAAAACTATTAGAAGTTATAGCAAAATTACGTTATATTAATAAATTGGCAATGTAAGTACCTTTTCTTAGTATTTCAAACAAATTTCAAAAATACATTTTAAATAGGTACTTCACTGTTATATAATATATATCATGTCATTAGAATAAAATTTCCCTTTGACCTTTCTAAGACCAAGAGACAAAAATATTACCATTAATATAAGACATTCATTAATTAGAGGAAAGGAATGAAGTGGGTAGGAAACTTATATGGTACTTTTTTTATAAAAAAAAAAACACACCATCACACATTTACATTATGATAGCTTTTTTACATAACATTATATAATAATAGTATTAAATAATTTATCTTGTACTATTACATTTTATTGACCAAAATTTACGGTATATCGTAATTCATATTTCGAAATAAGGTGAGAATCTAACAAAAATAAGCAGACAAAAGGGAGAAATAATTTCTATAAGTATGAAAGTAATAAATATTAAAAACGTACTTCCTGATGCGTATGCGGCACTGACAATGCACAAACACACAAAACCCACAATCAATTTCATCGTGTTGTGTGAAATGTTTAGCAAACCATCATGTCAACTTTACGTTTCGCACACCACTGACCAAATGACAAAATTCTCAGATGTATTATCTTGGGGTCGAAGTTTCGGGTCAAAGTAAACTGTATTATCGCATAATTATCTATGGTAGGACGCGGACGAAGCTGAGTTCGATGTACACACTTGATATAATTTGTGATGATTTATAAGTCTATAGGCAAACATCGTTAATGCGTTATAATGTGGTTAGTGAATTATCCATCATTTAAGAATAAAGCGGATTTATATTTAAATACAGTTCGTATACATATTTTATACATATTTTTATTACATATTTTTATTACATATTTTTATTCTCATAACTGCTTGTATTCCGTTAAGCGTATTTTTATAATATTATTCATTAAATAAATTCGTTTCTAAACATTTTAGTTAAGAAAAAATATAAGACGTAAAAAATGGGAGCCATCTCATGGTAGAAATCTTTAACTGTATCACCGTACCAGTTTCCAAGCCTAAAAACAGCACCTCATGCCTTTTATGGCACAACAACGAAAGCAATTCCTTATTGGAACACATATGGCCTTAGGCAAGTGTTTTGACGGCATAAAAATATTTACTATATTAGTCTTGAAATACTAAATTTAAAAGAAGTAATACACAGTGTTTAGTGTTTAGTTCCAATAGGAACCCTATTGGAACTCCGCTGTCTGTCTGTCTGTCCCTATGTCACTAGGCTGTCTCATAAATTGTCATAGTTAGATAGAATTTTCACAGATGATGTAAGTATTTCTGTTGCCGCTATACCAACAGATACTAAAATACAAAATAAAAAATATTGAAGGGGGGCTCCTATACAAAAGACATGATTTTTGCCATTTTTATAGATACTTTATGCGCGAGTCCGACTCGCACTTGGCCGGTTTTATTTCTTTTTTTTAATACGAAAAGTGCAAGCGAATTGGCGGTTCAACATTATTAAGCGATAACTGCCGCCCATGGCCATTAGCAATATCCTTAGGGTTGCAAATGCGTTGCCACCTTTCAATAAAGTGGGCTCCGGCTACCTCAATCACCAGGCGAAACGCAGAAGTATAACACTTTCACTTCACGACACTCTTCTGTGAAGTCGTGGTACTTACCCCGTCGGACCTGCCCATTCGTGCAACAGCCGAGGCTGTTGCGTGGCCCTACCACAGTTACAATTCGAACAATGTACACATTCTCTATTATGTACATACTATATTATAGTCTCTGTATTGTATCGCATGCTTATAATTTTGTATACAGGACTGTACGGGAAACTGCTGGAAGTGTTTGTCACCTAGTTATTTATTTGTAGGGTCGTCTGACGACGGGAAGTCGACGGAAGTCGTCATGTATCTGGTTACGTTCCGACTATGTCCCACTCGGAACAATTGACGTATCTGTTTAGTTGTATTCAATGTTGTTAGGAGTGTTTGGACGCGTGTGGTCCGCCTTCTCATGCCTAGGACGTTGTCGACTGCAGTAGTTGAAATGTCAAGTCTTGTATTCTTACTGAAGAAAATAAATTTCAAATTAATCATAGAAATACGAAAACAGTTAAGCGTGAAAAGTTTTTATTCAGTTTTAAGTACATGTATATGTGATGTAGACTGCATTGCAATGCATTATTTATGTGATATTAAAACCACATCTTGTACATAATATATTGTCCCACCCATGATAAGTCTTCCGGATCTGGGTGTGGGTCCAAGAAGCCTTGAAGTCAAGCAGACGGTAGGTCGTAAAACCAAGTCACACCATTAACAATTTCACATGTTGTAACGTCCTGAGAAAGGTGGAGAGAAAAAAGAAGCCTATATTAAGCTTCTAAATTCTAGTCGATACCAAAAAGGTCCAGTTTAACACGCATAAAGTTAATTTTTAGTTAGTTATTACTGCTAAGTAAAAGAGATTCTAACGACCGTATACAGAGAAGTCGTTTTTCTCTTTCTTTGTTTTCTTTTTACGTCTCTAGTACAGGAGAAAAAAAAAATCAAGAAATCAATAAAATTATCGCAGCTACACAAACATGCAATCAAGGACACAATTATACCGGAAACGGATATACCGTTTCTCACAAATTTATGCCCCATGTGGGCATCGAACACACAGTATGGAGCTCAAATAGCGGTTGGTAAGACCACTAATACTAGGTTACTACTATATTAGGTACTCTATCCTCGCAGTAGGCACTTAAGACATAAAAAATAATAAATTCTTTCATTTGTTTCTCATAACCTTTTCCTTAAAACTAGTTAATAAGAGTCAAATTGACTCTGAAACGATTTTAATGGATGAAGATAATTCGGACTTAGCACGACGTTACATACACTTGAAGATAGAGAAAATGACTAGCTTTTCGACCGCGGCTTCGCTCGCGTTGAAACTCTTAAACAAATATCAAGATATTTTCATCTCTTTACAAAGTTTTTTTCGAATTAAAAAATAACCTATTTCCTTTCTCAGGCTCTGGACTATCTGTGAACCAAAATTCATTTAAATCGGTTCAGTAGTTTTGGCGTGAAAGCGAGACAGACAGACAGAGTTACTTTCGCATTTATAATATTATAGTACAGTATGCATAACTGCAATCAATTATAATTGGAATTGGAGCTAATAATAATTGGAATAACATATTTTGTAATAGTAAATCCGAGCACAATAACAATGCAAGACTCCATGACTTATCTACAAACACAGCAACAAGCATTCGAAACCTATGGAAATAATTTAAAAGTAAACCTCGATGCAATCCTTAGAAGTGGTACCATTTAACAATATTAATTCTTATGAAATTTATAGAGGTCATACGTCTTTGAACTTTGTGGGCAAATCTTCCTAAGTTTCATTCATTATGTCGAGTTTTACACGATAACTGTTATTGATAGTGACTCAACTTTTATATACCTATTTGTAATATTTATATCTAAAGTGAATATTATAAATTTATCAATGTGGCGAAATAAGTATAACTTTTTAACAAAAAAATTATAATAATTTCAAAATGTCCTTTTCTCTGGTTGTTAGGCGCTATAGACAATCAATATTTTCTAGACACTTCATTAATTAAGCCGTTTAACTGAATATACTTTTTTATGTGAAAGTTTGCAAGCAAGCAAAGGAAAGTTGAGTGATTACCGCCGCCCATATATATACAATATCTGAGGGGTTGCGTTGCTAACATTTAAAGAATTGGGACCTCAATTACCTCACTCAAGAGATGGAACTTGGAAGTATAATACTTCCACTTCACGACGGTCTTTTGGGAGGCCGTGGTATTTCCCCGGAGGAGCCAGCTCATTCGTGCTCCAGCAGAAGCGTGGACGTACTAGATTAAAAACTTTTATATCATAACATCCATTGACGTCAAAATACCACTAATATAGTAGTAATACTAACAAAAAAGATAGACCTACTCGTATGAAATACACACTCAGAGCCGGATTTAGAGGTCTGGAGGCCCCTTGGTTTCAAATTATTTTCCAAATAAAATAAACTATTTTTTTTCCATCAAGTTTCCCAATAATTCATTTATTGTGAAACCATACTTGGTTAACCGTGGTAGGGCCACGCTGCAGCCTCGGCTGTTGCACGAATGGGCAAGCCCGTCCGGGTAAGTACCACGACCTCACAGAAGACCAGCGTAAAATGGAAGTATGACAAATACTTTCGCGTTTCGTCTGGTGAGTGAGGTAGCCGTAGCCCAATTTTCAAAAGGTTGTCAACGCATCCGTAACCCTCGGGTGTGGCAGATGTCCATAGGCGGCGATTTTCACTTAACATCAGGTGAACCGTCTGCTCGTTTGACAACTATGTACAATAGTATGAGTAGGTAAAGGTAAAACACGAAAAAAATATGAAAGGAAAAGTTGTTCACTAGTGTTTACTAGTCTGAATTTGAATTTTTTTTAAGTTTGTTGTTGGGGCCCCTCTTTTGTTGAGGCCCCGGGGCGGTAGTCCCAGTTGCCCTCCCCTAAATCCGGCCCTGTACACACTGTACACCGCCAAGTCGCAAATTCCAAATTTACATTCAAATACATACTACATACAGTATAATTTTCTGCCGCTCTCGACCAATTTGTGGACACATTTGTCGCTAGCCTTACATGGCCAAGTTATCGGGAACTTGAAGGAGGGAGGCCATTCTTTTCTAAGGGTAGCAATCCATTGTTTGCGCAAATCCTATTGTGTTATGAACGTCCTTGTTAGATGGTGAATACTTTTTTTATTTATGTTTGGAGTCAATTTTTTTAATATTTTAATGACACATATTGGTAAAATAGAGTCAGTAATCAGTATGGAAATATCTTCAAAGAACCCCACGCTTTTCTATAATAAAAGATTATTTTGATAATCACACTATTCCTAATTTAAAATCATTAAAAATTATTATCTATTTTTTAGGTCTGCTAACTATAAAAGCCTATTTTTAATAACATTAATTTTACTTTGGCACAAAGAGTAGGTACCGGGTATCGGATTTTGAAATTCGCTGATGGTCGTGATCAGGATGATGGACAGACGATTTAAATTATCGCATTGTCATCGGTACTTTCCAAGTTTTTAGTTAAATTCGACGTTTTGTAGTGGTTTAACAAGTCAATTTTTCATTAACGAAAAACAAAACCGACTTCAAATATCTCGCCCTGTATTCATTTTATAATTGCGTATGTCCGGAGCCCACGATCCAGTACCAATGAAATTAATATGGGGCTACATGGGAAGCAACAGATTTCAAATAAAAAAAATCATCAAAACGTGAAAAAAATACAGTCGAATTGAGAACGTCATCCGTTTTTGAAGTCGGCTGAAAACACGTTCGAAGGTTCCTTTACATACATACTTACATGATTTTTTTTGCTAAAATGCTTAAATTTTCTGTTAATTATATATTAGTTTTTACAAAAAGAAGCCCCATACTCGTCTACAGCCTGTATTTGGTCGCCAAATGTATGTTTGCGTTTGGCTACTTTTTG